CCTGGAAATATTTACTACATAATTTTAACCATATTGATGAAGAGCAAATGTAAAGAACATAATTACATATGTTTGTTGATAGACAACTTAAAGGTCACATGCAACCAAAAAAACAAACATGCTCATTTTTTGTGTATAACATTTAGCAATCAACAGACACCATAACGTCATGTGTACAAGTATCACACCTGCCTGTCTCTGTAATTACATAATGTGACAGAGACAAAACTCAGGTGCACGAACCATAAATCAATGCGTTTTGTTTATGGTGTATAGCCTGATACGTTTCAAGTTCAAATTGCATGTGGTCAGTGATCGAAGTTGTGTATTGCATATTGTCATTAGCAGACATTAGCAAGTCATGTTAAAAGCTTCTGCTTTCATTTCAAAAGCAATCGTAGTGTAAAGCTAAGTATAACTCCTTCACTTTAGCAGTGACTACAACCAGTGTAGGAAAGATAGCCCGTCCCAAATATCTAGTCCGTCCTCATGTCGGGTCAATTTTAGCAAACCAATGACATATATATAATGATTATAACCTTTCAGGGTAGAGACTGCGATCTGGTAGAATCGGAGGAGATTCTACCAGTAGAGATTGCGATCGGAGTCTCTACCAGTAGAGACTGCGATCGGAGTCTCTACTGGTAGAATCTCCGATCCTACTAGTAGAGATTGTAATCGTAGTCTCTACTGGTTGAATCGGAGATTCTACCAGTACATTTTCCAATTCAACTGGTAGAAACTCCGATCCTACTACTAGAGGCTGCAATCGTCTTCAACTGGTAGAAACTCTGAGTGATCTGTGGGTAAACAACAGACACTTTTTCTGAACAGTACTATGCATTTTATTCAGATATAACACTAGACTGTTTCCACTTCTACAGATATATTAAGGACTAAAAATACAAATGTGACTTGAGAGATCATATTACAATATATACATATATTACAAAACTGATTACAAGCAAGATCAATTGCATAATCAGTGTTTGTCCTAGGCATAAAAATTTAGGAGTCATCATGACTCCCTGGTGTCATGAGAGGGAGTCATGGACATGTTTTTGGGAGTCAACTTCTTTCATCAAGAGATCAACTGTTATTGTTTAATAACAACAGGTCCAAGTAAGGCAGGTCAGGTATTTAATCAGCACTGAGCAGTTAACTGGCAAACATTAAACTTAGTAGTTTTAGGTGTCTTGGCATGTCGGCATTTTGGGAGGATAGGTGTAGGGCAATTCCCCACCAGGTCATTACCCCATCTGCCATATCCCCACCTGGTCATTTCCCCACCTAAAAATGGTTTGTAACACTGTATTTACATCATGAGACCAAGCTGCCAAATTTGGACTCCACTCAAAAAAAAAACAAAATACCTTACTCCAAAACAGACTTAACAAATAAAGTTAACAAGATAACAATAAATAAGTTCAATTATAACTGGCAAATAATAGGAAAACATTATCCCAACTTATTATACTTGCTTGCATAAGCTTGCACTTGCTTGCATAGGTTATTCCATATAATCGTAGTCTCTACCAGTAGAGACTACGATTGCAATCTCTACTAGTAGGATCGGAGATTCTACCAGTAGAGACTCCGATCACAATCTCTACTGGTAGAGACTCCGATCGCAATCTCTACTGGTAGAATCTCCGATTCTACCAGATCGCAGTCTCTACCCTGACATATATATATATGATCTCTCAAGTGAAAAACTGCTTCGAGAGGAAATCTTGATTGACACACTCTGTATGGTGTCTTTAGTCTGTACCAGAGTTTGACGTCAAAATGAAATGGGATTGAAACATGATCAAAAGTCAGGGTTAATTAATATCAGAAAGTCTTGTACATGAAAGAAGGATTTCAAACATGACCAGATTTACAAGGAGACTGAAATAGGTTGGATTATTAACTGTTGATTAACCTCTTCTGGTTGGTAGTGGAAGGAGGGTAGAGCGGGCAAGAGGTTGAAGCGTTAGGTCTTCATGCCATATGACCGGGTTTGATTCCCAGTTTGGCACACTAAAAGCTCATTCCTGGGTCCGCTACTATACTATTCACACTTTACTAAGGATCAAATCATGGATTCAACAGAAAACTATGATGTGGGGTCAAATTTGGTTTAAATATCTAAGCATATTGTAAGCATGGATCCTAGGTTTCAGTATGTCAGTGCATCATGTGGATCCCATTCCTGCTATTGACAGCCGTTGTGTACTTGTCAATGACTCGTTCCATGATTTGCAAAATGATTGATTGGTGCCATGAAAACCATTTTTATGGTTACTTATGTATCAAGTGCATAAGGTTAGATTAAAGTGACTGTTTGCCTAAAGAGGGGTCACCGTATTATTATTCATCCAGTTTTAAATGGATACAATTTCAAATTATAAATCTATGTTTAAGTAAAGTTGGGAATTTTTGTGATCCTTAGCAAAGTGTGAGTAGTATATAATATTATGAAAGTATCATGAATAGCTGTAGTCCATGGTACAATGTGTGAAGCCAATTTCTGGTGTCTCCCGCAGTGATATTGCTGAAATATTGCTAAAAGCTGCTTTAAAACTAACTCACTCACTCACTGTAACCATAGCCATGCTTGTGGGTGTCAACATGGTAAACAAGATACTGGTATCAGTTTGGGCTCACTTCTCATGTTAAGCTGACACACAGTGATATAACTGAAATAATGTTCTTAGCCACTCACTCACTCATCACTCGCTCGGAATATTGCTCCCAGCTGGTGGAAAGAAGCTACCGAGTGGATCAGGTGCTCACACTTGGTGTCCCCTTGCTTTGAATTGTTGTTCCTGATATCAGTCACTGGATTGTCTGGTCCTGAACATATGGCTGGAATATTGCTGAGTTCAGCAAATTTATTTATCATTTTAATGAATGTTTTACATTTTCAAATGTGACTTGTATTTCACATAACTATTAAAAGCAATACCTAGATGTGTAGCACAAGACAGCATTACACAGGCTCTTAGTCTGAAATTACAGCTAAATCCCCAGCTGCGATCTTCTACAGAACACTGTCATTCAAATACCATTAAAAACTCATCCCAGACATATAAAGTTCACATTTGAGCCTTGAGGGTTTGAGGGTGTATTTATTCTTCTTGCCTCAACTGTCGATGTTACCATTAATGTCTAATTAGATTAATTCTCTACTTCCAAAAGTGACAAGAGGAAGGATCTCCTTGACAGTTGATGAAGTACGGTCTGTGTTCACCTCCAGGCCATTCATTCAGTGGTGTCCATTATTCAGTACTTGTGATCTTTAACAGAAGTATGGTGCGCTGTGGGTGCCACATTTAGTTGTTTCCAGTTGTACCCCTTATTTCTACTTAAAGAAGTTGTAGGTTCAGATCCCAGATTATGATTTTGGTTTGTGTACACCATACCTTAATAATTACATTCTTGGTTATCTCTAAACTGTAAAACATTTACAACCTGTCTCGAACATTATATTGACACTGCATATTTAGTAATCAAATTTTGATAGGAATGCTAGTATATCTTTAACAGAACTATGGTGCACTGTTGGTGCCATAATTATTTTTTCAAGTTGTATCCCTTATTTCTACTTAAGAAGTTGTGGGTTCAAATCCAAGATTTTGATTCTTGGTTTATCTACACCATATGTTTATAAATATTTTCCTCGAGTTTCACTAAACTGTAAAACATTTACAACCTGTCTTAAACATTATGCTGTTCCAGCATATTTAGCAATCAACTTTTGAGAGGAATATATCTGTACATCACAACTTAAGTCATACATAACCAAAGTTTGTTCAAAATTACCTTCAACCCAAATATTTCACTCAACATAAACCTCTTTTGTCAAGATGGTGCTATTGTGCTATGATTCAGGCGACATTAATGCTTCAAGATACTGTCCCATGAAGAAGCCGCCTCCGTGGTGTAGTGGTTAGAGCGTCTGCCGGAGAGCGGAAGGTGCGGGTTCGATCCCCGAACGCTGGCCCTACCAAAAACGTTAAAATATAGATCTAGTTGGTCCCTGCTGCCTGGCGCTTCGGCATTAATGGGTACAACAAGGACTGGTCGGTTCGAGTCAGTATAATGTGTCTGAGTGGGGTATTCATGCTTCACTGCGGCATGGTATCTCAGTGGGCTAGCACTATAAAACCAGCTTCAGTCTGGGCTAGTACAAGCAGCCGCATACACATATAATTCTCAAGCCACGACGTTAAACCCAATTTCACCTCACCTCACCCATGAAGCCCAGGGTTAGGCTTGGTCTTCAACAACACATGCTTGTCATAAGAGGCAAGATAGATCTAGATCTAGATTTTAATCTTCTCTTGAAGCCTAAGTGGCCAGGCATTAACTTAATTATCTTAGCCTTGCTTTGATGCTCATGGACCTTGATTCAATCACCTGATTGTCTTGTCCAGACTTGATTTTAAATATAGACAGTGGTTTTATAGGATATTTCTGGTTGGGTCATTAAACAACAAAGACAAATAAAAGAGCCAAAGTATCAAACTAATAACCCCAGTTTCACTCCAATGTTGGTTTTACATCAGCAACAAGCAATCTGATATAATTGACATTTTGTTAGTCTGCTGGCAATTTCATTTCACTGCAAATAAAAATACATTTTTGAGCTTCTAGTTTTACATTCTACCGTTTTCATCATTTTCATTTCATATCTTGTTTGTGAAAGTTTCTTGAAGTAGAAGATGGACATTATTTGCCCTTCAGGAAACAGTTTTTGGGTTTCAGAAACTAATTTCATTTGCTGAAATAGAAAAAAATAAATGTGAGACAAATGACTAGTTGTTTAGAAGTCTCAGGATCAAACAGCAGTTGGAGTGTGCACTTCCATGCGCTTTCAATTTGGTAACTTTAACAAAGATGGATACTTGATTTCTGTTACAAATTATAGAAAATGGCCGATGTCTCGGAGGATGACACAGATGATTAGTGGGAAGTGCAGGATCTGACTTAAAAGCGTGTCTGTTTTGCTGCAGGTCTGGCTCAGTCTGGCTAATCACTACATCAAAGACTTGAAGATTGACTGGGAGAAAACCGTGAGATTCGCCTTCAATGAAAGAAGCAACCCAGATGACGACAAACTGGGACTACAGATAGTGAAGGTATTGATGACTGTCTTCCCAGATGCATACCAGATGTGTGCAAGAGGTGCCTGGTCTTGGGTTTGACCTCAAGATTTATTTTGGGCATGATTCTTGGTTTGCTGGGGTAATGGGGTAGCCTATGGGTTAAAGTGTTCGGGTGCCACACGATTGACCCGGGTTGAGTGCAGCATATGGATACAATGTGTGAAGTCCATTTCTGGTGTCTGTTGATGTGATGTTGCTGGAATATTGCTAAAAGTGGCATGAAACCATTTGGTTGGTCATTGTCATGTTTTCGCTATATTGGTAATCGTCTACATCCTGCTTCACTGATCTTTCACCCTAAAAAGTTGGATTTGATGTTATATATTGTAATACCCTGCTGCATGACTGTCCCCTTGACCAACTTTTTTGCCAGTCGTCAAGTACATGTAGTTTAAAAGTGCTCCTAACAAATACTGAAGAAGTACATGACAGTTCATATTTTCTTGTATTTATTACATATTTATTTACAGAAACTGGCAAAGAGGGGATATATAATTGCCAATCACATTTTAGAAATTCTGTTTGTTAACCACTGATTTCTAGAAAAGATTCAATTTGTGTGTGATAAGCACTAGTTGTGGTCCGATTAATTGAAATAATTGAAGATTGCTCGTAGTGACTAAACGACCAAGCAATCGAACATGTTTTCTCATAATCGAACGCAACACTTGTTGGCATCAACAATATTTTTCACAAGGTTGCTTTTGTCTGTGTCATTAAATTTACATTTCATAAGCAAAACAAGCTCGTTCCAAGTCATGATTGAATTTATCTTAAAGAATCCAGGAAATCTGTGTTCCTAACATACTAATAATCCTTTAAATATGCAAAATTTGCAAATGGATTTTGTTTGCCAAAACAACACCAAATTACTACATGTTTTTTCTTTATTTTTACAAAGACAACAGGAACATTTGATAAATGATGCTAACCAATTATTTTTGATGATTGATCGGTTGTAATAGACCAATCATCAGTTATGAGATTTTAACCAATTCCCAACACTAATAAGCACACTGTTAACAACTCGTCTGCCTGGGACTCCTGCTCCAACCAATCTTAGCGTTACGACCATCGTAAGCCTATGTTAGAGTATGGGAGTTGCACAAAGTTTTCTTAGTGTTGAGGGGCGGTGAGGTAGCCTAGTGGTTAAAGCGTTTGCTCGTCACGCCGAAGACCCGGGTTCGATTCCCCACATGGGCACAATGTGTTAAGCCCATTTCTGGTGTCCCCCTCCGTGATATTGCTGGAATATTGCTAAAAGCCGCGTAAAACTAAAACTCAGTCAGTCAGTCAGTCTTAGTGTTGAGGAGATTGTAACAGAGCCCTGGGCAACACTTGAACATCAGGGTGACCATTGGTGCTATTTTCACCATTGCCATAATATTGAAGTTGTACTTCATATTATTGCAGTAGCAGTGCAATAATCATCCATTATTGCAGTAGTGTTGGAAAAATCATCCACTATAGCAATCATATTGCGATGGCATTTTACCAACTTTAATACATGATTATATTGATCAATGTTATAAAAGTGAATAACGTATTGCCAACAATTTACTGGCCATTTTCCTACCAGTCGCTACTTAAACCAAAGGGAAATAACTTTAATCATAATTCTTACTGCAACCCACACACATTGGATTTGAAATAGGACTGTGAAAAAAACGTTTTCTGTCACATAATTTGTTATGTAGTTATTCATAGCTTAGAAGTGAAAACTTTGGTCAAACTGAAAGATGTGCAGGCTGACTAAGAATTAAAATCAAGGCAATTATAGGATGCACAGGCCAAAGATCATAGGATTCCTTCCCTTCACGCCTAAGTGCCACAACTCTGCACAGCAAATTGTGGCGCCTGATATAACCTGGCCACAGGGTCCCAGGAGATGGGAACATTGTATCGGCCCAGCTGGAAATGCGTGGAGTTGTTTCTTCAGGATCAGCACACATGAAAATCAATCCCTTCTCGTTACACTATTATAGATTTGTTTAGTTTGGCGATGGAATCGGAGCTGTTGGGAGTGTCTGGAAAAAGACACTTCCTGTGAGATGTTAGTTGTTTCTTTTAAAACATGATTTTCTTGTTTTAACACTGAATCTATTCTTCCGACTGCATCTGTGTAACAGACTTTTATGGTAGTACTCTGAATCTGAGTACAGTTTAACGATGTATATATATAATTATGTCTAACATCTCTTATCTGATCGCTGATATTGATGAGTCTGTTCATCATATTAGTAATAAAATACTGATAATTGTATCACTGATGTAATCATATTGTTGATTATTGAAATCAATAGTGTAAAATTCTTTAATAATTTGCTGATCTAGAAATTGATTTCATTTAATGAAAATATTATAGTCAATGTAATGTAATTTGACATCGTATAATCCAGTTTATATGTGTAATTCCATTTATGATGTCAATAATATATCTAATTATGATATTCGCTCATCACGCTGAAGACCCATGTTCGATTTCCCACAAAGGTACAATGCATGAAGCCATATTTCTGGTGTCCCCTGCCATGATATTGCTAAAAGTGGCATTAAAACCAAACACACTCACATTATGATAATAGGGCCAAGATTACAATTCCTAGATAGAATACAAACTAGTTAGACTAACTGATATCATGTAAAGGATGAATGATCAGTAATTTGGTAGTAAATGGTTTGACACTGTTGGATTCTGGTTTGAATTAGACCCAGCAACCCATCCTGATTCTATGAGGAGACTTAATGAATTGGTGGTCAGACTTGGTGACTTGTTAAACATGATTGTTCATGATGTCAATCACTGGATTGCCAGGGTGAGACTAGAGCAGGGAATCGTAATATCCTCAGTGCTAAGACAGTAGTAAGGTATGTGAGTTACGATCACCTTAGCTAAGATCCTTGTATACTATGATATTGTACAGAATGATCTTAGTGCTAAGGTGGTCATAACTCGCATACCATAGTCTGTACAACAGCACCCTGTAATATTGCTGAGTATGGCAAACCAAGATCACACAAACAGAAAACAGCTTGGTGAAGCCCATGGTATTCCCGTGGCCAGATACAGAATGTAGCGGCTGACTGCTTCTGGTCGTGTCAAGCCTCCAGGAGTGGGTTAACACTCAGACTGTACTCAGACGAGTAGGTCAAGGTTTGATTGGACAGCTCCTGGATTACTCTGTCTCTGCTAGGGGCACACAGCCAGACCTTACAAGTGTGTTATAGGGTTATTTTGGTGTTGTGTTTATGTCCTTGGAGTGAGAAATAATCTGTGTTAGTTATGTAAATATGAGTCAGGAATGTAGGGATATACAATGCTTCCTGAATGATGTGGAGTTTAATTGAAAGTATCAATAATCATGCTTTAAAATCGTGATGCTGGCCGCAGAGTACCTTTGTTGAGAGTTAATTAATCAGGATTCACTGAGAACTATGTTAGCATTTCTAATTCTGTGTTAGCAAATCTAATTGGCCGCTTTACAACAGGCTCTTGTTCCATGTAACTCTTTGTTGTATGGTAACTCCAGTACCTAACTCCAATACATTAATATAGGCCCTGACTGGTTTCACTCTTGCAGGAGGGGAGGTGGGGTGGCCTAGTGATTAAAGTGTTCTTTGTCTCGGTGAAGACCCTGGTTCGATTCCCTACATGGGTATAATGTGTGAAGCCCATTTCTTTGTTCCCCGCCGTGATATTGTTGGAAGAGGCGTAAAATTAAACTCACTCACAGGCTAGAGGAACACTGTGTGTACAAACCTTGAGTACTGACAGTGAGTGAGTGAGTGAGTGAGTGGTTTTACTCTGCTTTTAGCTATAATCCAGCAATGTCACAGCTTCACACATTGTACCCATGTGGGGAATTGAACCTGGGTCTTCGGAGTGATAAGCGAACCAACTAGGTTACCTTGCTTCCTGTCTAACAGTGTAGCAGTGAGACTTTAATTTGAAATATTGTGAAAGCCCAGTCTTAATTTAGATTTCCTGAGGGATTTTGCTGTATCTACGGAAGCCTATTAGATATTAAGTTGAAAATAAAGATATTAAGTTGAAAAATTCAAGCAGTTTGAGGATAATAGGATTCCGTGGCCCTAATAGGATGTGTAAGATGGAGGATTTAGACTGTACGACTTGTGTACGACATTGGTTGTGGTTGTCTATCCGTGAAGGTCCGGGTTAGAATGAACCTTCAGTAACCCATGCTTGTCGTAAGAGGCGACTAACGGGATCGGGTGGTCAGGCTCGCTGACTTGGTTGACACATGTCATCGGTTCCCAATTGCACAGATCGATGCTCATGCTGTTGATCACTGGATTGTCTGGTCCAGACTCGATTATTTACAGACTTCCGCCATATAGCTGGAATATTGCGGCGTAAAACTAAACTCACTCACTCATTGGTTGGGGTTGTCAGGACCTACATCGTACCGGGTGCAGCAGCTACAGTGGCCAGGACAACGAGCAGGACCGGGCGGTGTTAAAGCGGGTTCTCCTGGCCTATGCCAGATGGAACAAGCGGGTCGGCTACTGCCAGGGGTTCAACGTCATAGCTGCCCTGCTGCTGGACGTCATGGACAGGAAGGAGGACGACGCTCTCATGGTGAGCTTTCCAATAATAGCATGGAGTGTTGCTCATAATATTGGGTCATATTGTAAGTAATAGTGTGCATTATATCAAGTGTTATATTGTCTGTAATATCATGCTTCAGAATCAACGGATATATTGCTAGTAATATCATCCTTAGTATCATGTGTAATATCATGCATAATAGTAATATCATCAACTGTAATAGTAGGTTTATATCATGCACAATAGTATATAATATTATCTTTAATATGTAATAGTAGGTTTGATATCATGCATAATAGTAATGTCGTGTATAATATAATCATTAATATCGCTGTGTAATAGTAGGTTTGATATCATGCATAATAGTAATATCATCCTCAATATCGTATGAAATATGCTTAATATAGTGAGTAATATTTGAGTGTAACTTCAGGCATAAAGGGGTGGTGGGGTATCCCAGTGGTTAAAGCGCTGGCTCGTCACTCTGAAGACCCGAGTTCGAATCCCCACATGGGTACAATGTGTGAAGTCCATTTCTGGTGTCCCCTGCCGTGATGTTGCTGGAATATTGCTAAAAGTGGCGTACAACCAAACTCAGTCAGTCAGGCATAACATCATGCTAATTTGGTCTAGATTTTTATTATTTCCATTGTCAATAAGCCACTTGAATATTAAGGCACAAAGCAGTATGAAAACATGCTACGATAAAAGCAGCATTTTAATTCACTGTAAACCGTTGATATTTTACAGGTGATGATTTACCTGATTGATCATGTGCTTCCCGAGAGCTACTTCGCCAACAACCTGCGTGCCTTGTCTGTAGATATGGCTGTGTTCCGCGATCTGCTCCGCTTCACCTACCCACACCTGGCCAAACACCTTAACCACCTGCAGAATGCTGCTCAAGATATTACCACAGGTAGGCAGAACAATTACCAGCAGAACGCTGCTCAAGATATTACCACAGGTAGGCAGAACAATTACCAGCAAAACGCTGCTGAAGATATCACCACAGGTAGGCAGAACAATTACCAGCAGAACGCTGCTCAAGGTATTACCACAGGTAGACAACGAATACCAGCAGAAGCTGTCTGTGATGTTTCTAGGTCATGTAAGCAGTATTGGTATCATACAGTTGACATACCTGTAAAGCTGCAGATTATTCAAGAAGCTGAATTGTACACACGATTATGGATATGATGTCATTGCCTCTTCCATTAAAAAATACTTCTAGCCACTGAGGTACTACAAACATGCATGCTTGGAATGTTTGCTCGTCATGTTGTTTTGCTGTTCAGGTGCCTGCTACGAGCCTCCCTTGACGAACGTGTTCACCATGCAGTGGTTCCTGACTCTGTTCGCGACCTGTCTTCCAAAGTCCATCGTCCTACGGGTGTGGGACTCCATCCTTCTGGAGGGCTCGGAGATCCTGCTGCGCACCGCCCTCACCATATGGGGCAAACTGGCAAGGTGAGGAACTTGGAATCTTTTGACATACTTGAGTACACATCAAGAACCCTAGTAACTCGAATTCTATGTCAATAAATCAAATTTTTCTTCTCCAAGACTTTTATTTCGGAAATAATCTGGTCTCTGGGATGCATTTTGACAAGTTTGATTATTTCAAATTGGGTATCTTGGAATTCCCAGAACAGAAGTCATGGTTGATGGTAGCTATACCATTAACTTTTCCAACCATGCCCTTGAACAAGGCACTTCCTGTCCCTTACCACAGATTACCATAACAATTTTTGACTTCTCAGCTTACTAAAAACAACAACAAACCTAACAAAAAGTGAATTGGAAAGAAACTTGTCCATGGTTTTAAGTATGGAGTAAAGTTGAACATTATGGTTGACAACTTGTGTGATTTCCTGCAGGAGAATCAAGTCCGTGGCTAGTGCAGACGAGTTCTACACCCTGATGGGCGACCTGGCGGCAGACATGATCCAGGGAACTATCTTCAATGCTGATGACTTCATTAAAGTAAGAGGGCTTCTTTTCTGATGCTGTAAATCATGAAATTGGTGTGAACATTAAGTTAATGCAAAAATGTAAGTGACCTGAACCAAGTTTGTTCAAACATCACAAATCACACTCAGTATTGTTGTTGTAAACTTTGTTGCAAATATATGATTTTGATCATATATAGAATCTTTTATTTCTATTTATCTCCTTATAGATGTTTGTCCCAAGATGAAGTTGAAGTGTTGCAATAATTACTTCGATATATTATTTCTTCAGAAGTATGGTGAGCTGCAGAGCCTTGTCTCTGTCATTTTTCCTACACTATATATATGGTTTCTAATGATGACAAAGAAGAATGGTGATTTGGAGCATAACTCAGTTACTTCTCTTGTGGGTACAAATTAACTTGGTCTCTGATGTTCTCTTTCAGTCCATCTACTCCCTGTCCCCGTTCCCCTTCCCCCAGCTGAGTGAGTTACGTGAGAAGTACACGTACAACATCCGCCCCTTCACCAACACCGCCAATACCAGCAAGAAGAGTGGCTCTCGTGTGGCCAAGAATGTTCTCTACAGTGACGAGGACGACCTGGACGATGAAGACATCGAGGCCATCACCTGCTTCCAGGGCTTCGTGCCTCAGGGCATGAAAGGACGGGGTATGTGTCTGCAGACTGAAAGAATGATACTGACTTATGAAATATTCAGTATTGTATAAGTATACAAATTGTACCATGCCAGTAGTATCAGGATATGTATCATATCATGACCCCAGAGGTAACACCTCTAGGTAGCAGATATATTCCATCATAGACAATATGTTCAATCTAAAATGTTCCACATATTCCATCACAGACAATATATTCCATCACAGACAATATATTCTAAATATTCCATCACAGACAATATGTTCAATCTAAAATGTTAGATATATTCCATTACAGACAATTATATTCCATCATAGACAATATGTTCAATCTAAAATGTTAGATATATTCCATCATAGATAATATATTCCATATATTCCATCACAGACAATGAGGCGTTGTAGTGTCCCCTGGAATATTGCTGAAAGCCTTAATCACTTGGTCTCTGTACTGTTTCAGGTGATGGCGAATTGGGTTCTGGGTCGGCCGACATCTCGGCCCTAGGCCCAGGAGCCTATGGTATTCACCCTGACGCCCAGGGTGCTGGACCAGTCTACATGGAGAGAATGTGTACAGACATTGGCAGTCTGAAGAAACAGTACGAGAAGCTCCGACTTCGACAGAGACAGGCGCCACATCATTATATCAGGTGAGGCTGGTAATGATGTTTACAAGTGAACCTTCTTAACCAAATAGTAATCTATTATCAATAAATATCAGAAGTAACTTTAGACCCAAAATTGCAAGAAAGACTGAGGGAAATCAACATACTTCACATCCCTCAGCCAGTGGTGAGTGGCGACATATTTATGCATAATTAACCAACAAATAGTTAACCAGAGTTGTAAACAAAATTCAGATGCAGCCCATGAATAAATACCATATATTTACCATAGAATATACAATGCCAAGCGAAAACAAATTAGAACTGAAAAGGTAAATCTTGTTTAATGATGTTTTATTGCAAAGTCGTTTTCTCTTGGTCATACCCGTGAAGGTCCGGGTTAGAATATTGGCCTTCAGTAACCCATGCTTGTCGCAAGAGGCGACTAACGGGATCGGTTGGTCAGGCTCGCTGACTTGGTTGACACGTCATTGGTTCCCAATTGCGCAGATCGATGCTCATGCTTTTGATCACTGGATTGTCTGGTCCAGACTCTATTATTTACAGACCGCCGCCATACAGCTGGAATATTGCTAAGTGCGGCATAAAACTAAACTCACTCACTCTCTTGGTCGTTCATGCAAAGTGATACAATGTTTTTTTACCACCAGAAAAAAGTTTGACTAAAGTGTAACCTGTAGATAAGCGACCCCTTTCTACAGGCTCCTTTTTTGGTCCTGTGTGTTGTATGACATGAATGAAGACTTTTTGTGTATGACACTTGAACTGTAAAATGTAACAGGGCTACCTCTTGCCCCTGAATCAATTCAAGCAAAAACACTATATATTCATGTACTTCAAACTTCAAAATAAAAAACTATTTTGTCATTTTCTTCACCAGCTGCCTCTGCAAGACAGACACCAAAGCCAAAAGCAACCGTCTTGGTCCCGAAGATCGAGAGTCCGCTGGCCATGAACCATCTGTTCATAGGAAAACATGCTGGAGGCCGCAACAGACTGGTAGCCGAAGGACCCAAGATTGTCTCTGTGTTCAACCACTGCGAGAAATATCCTCAACTGGGAGGCCCGAACAGGAGGGAAAAACGTTCCGGTTCTGCCAGTTCTGCCAAATCTGAACCTAAACGTGAGAGCTTCAGTAGTTGTGGGACACTGGAGGACATGAGCGAGGGTGTGAGTCGCGACAGGGAAGGTAGCGAAGGAGAGATGCCATTGTCGAGTCCAGATATTATGCAAGGAGAGGATCTGGACTTGTCCCAGTTTGATACTTCAGGGAGCCTCGAAGATAAAACTGAGGAAAATGTCAATAATAATGCCAGTGTTGATATGGTCAGTGATGCAGGACCAGTTTCTAGTGATTCTATGGACGGGAGGATGGTGGCAGACATCTGTCATGAAGATGCAGTGATACCTGCTGATGCAGACGCTGTGTCATCTGGTGCAGACGCATTGTCAAATGGAGCAGATGTCGTTTCAGGGTCCAATGAAACGCTTTGTTCTCAGCCAGACGTGACAGTTAGTGATGTGAGAAAGGATTCACTGAGTTTTGACCGAGGAGGAATGAGTGATTCAATGACAGAAGATTACCCAGGAACCAGGTATCAATTAAATTCTTATAAGGAAAATTTGAAAATGGACAAATACTCCCGACCTAAACCAGATCTTAGGTTAAATTTCACTCCAAGGAATTCAAGTACATCTGAGTCTGATACTGGTCCAAGTCCTAATCAGATGCACACGGACATGCTCACAAAATTTGTTTATATTGCCAGTAAACAGCACAATAACAAAACAAAAAGCTCAAGATCGTCGTCTTCATCGTCACAGTCAACCACGCCTACCAATCCAGATGGATCCAATTCAGTCAAGCCCTCATCCCCAACCAAACCTTTCAAGCCTTTCCCAATGAAACAGCTGAACTCGAACCGAGCCAAAAATGGACTAAAACTGGGGTTGTACACAAGCTCCACCCTACAGCAGCTGGAGAAACAGGGGAAGCGATCTCAGGGGTCTTTCTTCAAAGTCAAGAATGCTTCATGATGCAATGGAATAACAGAACATGTCTAGAATCGTATTCTACTCAAAGGATGTAAAGGACCACCCATTCATATTAGTACAATGAAACAATATGGGGATCCTTAACTTTTTTTGAGTAGTATATAATGTATAAATGATGCTATGGCTGAAAGTTATGTTGACGATCGTATGTCATTGTGTAAATATTTTCGATTGCAAACTGTTTTGGAGAGAGAGAGAGTGCTGTTATGGGCGATATTGCTTGCGGCCATATTGGATATTTCAGGAAGTTTGAAGGTGGCGTTGTGATTAGTGTGTGTGGAGATGAAAGATTACTGGAAAACTCGGTAAACAGCAAAATAAATCAAGGTTGTATTAATGCTTTTCAGTTTATTCTATCATCTGGTTTTCATTTCATTTCAGGGATTGGGCAATTTGTATATTTGAGTTAGGACTTTGTAAATATGATCCACTGAATGTAACAGTGCTTAATCCATATGAAATCCACAGGCCAAAATTTCAGCTTACATTTGGGACAATCAGGGAATTTCTGCATGTCATACAGTTCATGTTCTTGGTATCGTCTGCTTATAGAGAGACTCGTGTTTTGACGCTCATTCACATTAGGATCCTTGAGTATCAGTCATCCATTTTCCATTATCATTAATTTATATGTGCGGAGGGTCTGAATTTTCAGACACATTATAATCATGATAATCACCTGGCCTCTCTTTAAGAGAAATATGATATCAAAAGAATGATTGTTCGTCTTGGTACAGGGAGATTGATATTAGTGGCGACAAGAGTTATTTACCCTGTATTAAAGATTTAAAAGTTGAAATGCAAGAAAGAGATAAAAGTGAATATGGAATATTAATCTCATCACTATGAAAGATTTTAGAGGTGAAATAATTTGAAGGATGATGGTCAAGTAAGAATGATATACTTGAGCAAATCTTATACCGTATATTGTTGTATACAGAATCTCTTCATAAATGCTTAACCAGAAAAACACGATGGGCGAATGAATCTTAGTTTAAGAGAATTTCCAAAAGAAATAGCCTTTAAACAATTCTAGATCATGTTTTGTTTTGGTAAAAGCTCAATAATCTCTGCGTATGTTGAAATCAAATTTTGTCATCTGGAAAAATGTCTTTATATTTCCTTGAGTTTTGCACACTTTTATACAGTTTCATTGTTTTGCATGAAATGAAGGAATGTTAAACTGTAACTAGTTGTATCCTCTTTATGATGCAAACACTTCGTGATAACGTCTAACAATGAAAGTGTACATAATACACATGTATAAATGAAATTGCAGAGCCAGTTGAAAGCATTTATTTTCCTAAGGTGTGAGAGGTGAATCATTGATGTGATATATCAACATCAGGAATGAATATGGCAATAACATATATCAGTTTTGATGAATGGATGAATATGATTGTCCATGGCAAATGGAAATATACATAGTGTTTCAAACATGTATAAGTGTGTCTTGTTATTCAAACTCTGCTAACTTTGTAATCTTTTGTCAATGTACCTACCATTCCAGCTAATTTCTTTTGGTATATATCACTTTAGTCTGAACTTTATTATATATGGAAGATTCTGACAACAAAACTTCGAATTTGATCAAAGGGAAGTAACTCTTTGGCTTGTCATTTGCCACACCACTTCAAGCAACAAGGTTGGTAAGAAAAATATTTATATCTGGAAAAAATCTTCAAAATATCTTCCTACAATGTTTTCTTTCTCTCTAATGGTATTTCATAATTTGTATAAACCACTGATGGAAAAAGTATGTATCCTGTGAACTATGAAGGATTTGTTTAATAAAAATTCATTAGTATTTCAAAGTAAGTTTAGAAAATCTGTTCAAGTGTCCTGACTACATATACTTGATAAGTGCGTATGTAGGTTTATATGTAGAACTGTTTAATGTATAACATGCACAAGTATCTACCGTGACCATCACATCTGCATATTACGAAGTTTTGTTGAGTTTATGTAGATATTATATATTTGTTGAGATAAAATTACAAAATGTAAAATACATACTTTGTTTCAGTAATAATTTTTTATGTTTAAATTGTGCAATAAGTTGTTTTCACCTCAGCCTGTCGTGATAAACAGTCATTTTGCCGTTAACGAAAAGTTGATACCAGTACCAGCTTGTGAAACAACTTAGATATTGCAGTATTAGATATGAAAATCATTTAAATCAGATTTTAACTCTGATATGATCCTCTGTGCATGAACATCTGACGAGAGCCATATTAGTGACTGTATCCTGGAATCTTCATCCAGAGAGAGAATGCTTAGGTAGGTAGCGTAGTGGTTCAAGCGTTTGTACCCATGCATTGAACCCAGTCCTCGGAGCAATGTGTGAAGCCCATTTCTGGTGTGCCTCGCTGTAATGTTGCTAAAAGCAGCATAAAACTCCACTCCTGCAGAGTGAGTTGGGTTTTACGCCGCTTTTAGCAATATTCCAGCAATATCACGGCGGGGGACACCAGAAATGGGCTTCACACAATGTGCCCATGTGGGGAATCGAACCCGGGCCTTCGGCGTGAATAGCGAACGCTTTAACCACTAGGCTACCCCACCGCCCCACTCATGCAGAGAGGTATGAGAGTAAAAAGACTTGACTTTTGTAGCACAGGCTGAGACTTAGCAAGGTTTACCATGACATTAACACAGTATTATGTTCATTTATTATAAATATTTCCACTGTAATCATAATGTTGCTCAAGGTGTCTGAAACATATACCCTGTTATTGTTAAAACAGTATGCATAAAGGTTGAGCAAAACCATGTTTGGTTTGAAACATACAATCCTAACATTTCTATTTCTTTGTTAATATATTTTGTTGTTTATGGTGCACAATATAATATTCTCTAGTATTGGTTCCCATGACAGTTTGATCTATACTACTCGGAGAAAGTTAAGGATATGCGATTCTTGCAAACTACTGTATTTAATCTAGTCAGGCCATGACAATAACTGTACCAATATGAAAGAATAGAGTGTCCTTGAAGTTCATGCATATGATACCTATATCTAAGGCCATGGAAAAAAAGGGAAATAATTCTCATCAGAAATCTGTTAATGCATGTTCAAATGCAGGCTTTAAAATGTGAATGACATATTTATACTGGACAAGAACATTGATAAAAATTTATCTCAGACTCTTTCAAGATGGATGATGTAAAACATTTTCTGTTCTTTTCATGGCCTAACAGGTTACATAGTGAATGGAAATCTCATTTCTGGATTCAGATCTGTCTTTTGCGAAGAAAATGTCACAATTTACTTATCTCATTACATAATGTAGTAAGACAATCAAATATAATTTCAGAATATTTGTTTTGGTGCATTTTTTTAAAAGTTGATACATCAGTAAGACTAGTTTATATACAAGACACATGAAATCTGTGGTAAGTGAACTGTACAACAAAAATCTTACAGTGGATAGTGTTGGCTTGGCTGTAGTTGATAAGGTGGTGTACTGAGCACCAGACCTTTCAGATGGAATGGGAATAAATCGAAATTACTCAGATTTTCTTTCTACAAAGCAGCCAAGTTGGTATTATCAATTGTTTTTAGTTTCACTGACATTAGAACTAAGTTTGGTCACTTCAGTCCTGGAAATATTCATCTGGTTGTGTACGATTGTAATAAGTGATTCTTTCTTGACAAATAATGTTACCTTACGTGAGGTAGAGCAGTTTAGCATAATTCATATGCCTACACTTGGAGTAGCCTGTAAGTATGACAGATCATTAAGATGGTTATGTATGACATCCAATCTGTGTTGATGTGTAACTGGTACATGATCTAGTCACTACTCTCTCCTGCATCTACAGAACCAGTATCACAATAAGAACAGTCTATGCCTGTCTCAAACTCCCGGGGCCAATAAATAGATCAACTTTGACCAATCCCTTAGTAGACAAGGTCATCAGCAAGCTGTCCTTATAAGAGATTACGAACCTGGTGATCATGGATGCGCAGACCAGTGCTGAGATATCAATCACTGGATTTTCTGGCCCAGGCTTTATCATTCATCGGACTGTTGCCATAAAGCTGGAATATTGGAGTGTGGCATTAACCTGGGCTTGTTTGTTATGGAAGTCAGGTAATTAGATTTCTTACCTGTTTAAGGCCAAATTTGGTTTTTCGGTAAATTTGAAACAGATTTTTTTATTAAAGTTAGGACTATTGAGTTCCTGACATCCACTTTATAATAGTGAGTAGTAAAGTGTGTGTGGAATCCCCGGACAGAGTTTGAGACAAGGGTATTCAAATGTGTTTCATTCTTATTTTGGTTAAATGTTGATTCAACACAAGCCATAATAATTACTAGATTTTCATCCCAAACGCTCAGCCATACATAGAATTGAATTGAATTGGTTTGATGAAATCGACTACCGTATGACACAATCTTACAGATACTTTGAACAGTTTAAAAATACTAAAATAGCTCAGATAATTCAAGAGTTAATTATTTCACAAAACACATTGTATAATTATGGAAATTCCTTGCCGATTATCAAAATATTCATTTTGTGCTTTGTTACTTAAAGGGACATCATATTGGTAGAGGGGTTGTCCTGCTACTACATGTAACATTAGGGTACTGTGGGATCTCACCTCTGGAATCATTCATCTGTCTTGGATTCATCCTGCAAAATCAAGGTTAATCTATTTTGCAAATCAATGCTTTAATTTCTGCCAGCATTCGTTTGATAAATAAAATCTTACTGAATCTCTTTACTTGTTTTTATTCTATTCAAAGGGTTTGTACAACTCAGTTAGGCGAATGAATGTGTCTATATGCAACACTCAGCAGTAAAACGCTTTATTAATCAATATGGGCGTAACAAAACCGAATACTCTTAAAGACTGTCAGAAAAATCAATATCTCCTGGCCCTGGGTTGGGAAATATTTTTTTTAAACTCACTCACACTCGCTTGTTTATATGAATCTCTCTATATCACCCCAAATCGGCTTCCTGACAGGTGATATCGTTTTGGAAAGATGACATACTATCAATACTTTGCAGACTACAAATCTCTTTGCCACAGAAGCTGGTTCACCCTCGCATCTCTTGCTAGACAATATACAAACACACATCATGGCAGCCCGTAAATAAATATAGCGCCAAATCAGACGGTTAGACCCATGCTTGAAGAGTGAGCGAGTATGGTTTTACGCCGCTTGTAGCAATATCACTACAGAAGACACCAGAAATGGGCTTCACACATTGTACCCTTGTGGGTAATGGAACCCGTTCTTCGAAGTGACGAGCGAACGCGCTTAACCACTGGGCTACCCCGCCGTCCCCTTTCATTCAAGCGGTAAGTTTCAATGATATATATGTGCTTTGACCCTAGCAAAAGAAAAGCTGTTTAAGTCTCTGAATCGAGGTGGTAATAAGTCAGTGAGTTTAGTTTTACGCCGCACTCAGCAATATTCCAGCTATATGGCGGCGGTCTGTAAATAATCCAGTCTGGACCAGACAATCCAGTGATCGACAGCATGATTATCGATCTGCGCAATTGGGAACCGATGACATGTGTCAACCAAATCAGCGAGCCTGACCACCCGATCCCGTTAGTCGCCTCTTACGACAAGCATGGGTTACTGAAGATCAATATTCTAACCCGGACCTTCATCGGTTTCGAGGTGGTAAAGATAGGCCTGCGCGCCAACACGACCTTGAACACTGTTTATTTGATCATGGTGTGTCTGGTCAATATTGGTGAGGATTCCTGGTGAGCATGTGTCTTTATCAGCATACCCATGCTTGGGGGTTTCACTAAAGTGGTAAATGTCTGACCTGCATTACTACGGGATTTCCTCCCACATTGAACAGACACGACCTGATTTGACTGGAACACTGTTCAAATAGATGGAAGCGACAGAACTCTTTCCTCATGCTGAAAACATATTTGCGAAAAACAGAGTCGATTATATAATTCAGACTAGATACCCAGCACGTTTATGAATCACTCAAATTACGCGAAAAGGTGAGCGTATGTTGTCCCACCGGTGGCACCCGTCATAAACAAATGCAAAGGCTTGTCAATCTATAGTCAGTAAGCCGCTAGTCAGTCAATCACTCGTTGATATATTTTGTTCAGGGTGGGTGAGTGGGGTGTGGGGTGTTTAGTGTATATAAATTCTAAATCATTACGAGCAGCGAGAACATGGTGTGTTGAGGTGTTCATGACCTTGTTCTTAATTCCTGTTGCCAGCTATATTCTCCGGGACTACAAGGATTCTCAGTTAAATACATTTACAAAACCATTCTTTGCGTCAGCATCTGAAACAGATACGTTTCAAAACATGAGATGCTGCAGGAAACCCCTTGAGATTGCTTCCGGTTTCCGAAAAAATCAGTTTGAAATTCAATTTCATTTATCAAATAACCTGAAGTTTCAAGTTCACGGTCTTTGACAAACGTTTGCCGCTTAATTGCCAGGAAGTACAAAGGGTTTCAACTCAATCAATCACACGGCTCTCTAGAGGTGTCGGAGAAATATTTGTTTTAAAACATTGTGTTCAGTAGCGGGAGCTGGAATCGGTAACGATGCTGGAAACAAACTGGAGGCAATTGCCATCATCTGTCACACAAAGACATCGATTCTCTGGATGGGGTTTCGGAGGTGATAAATATTTTCTAACTTTTATGAATTTTAATATTTCAGAAATACAAAAGTATCACTCCTTGTTTCAAGCAGACACATGCATCTTCATGACCAGGCACACTAAACAAAACATCAAAATATTAAAACACGATTAACACAACTTTGTCTTCAATGCCTGAGTATGGTTGTATGCCACTTTTAGCAATATTCCTGCAAAGCACAGCGGGGGACACCAGAAATGGGTTTCACACATTGTTCACACAGGGACTCGAACCCAGGGCGTGAAGAGTGAATGCTTTAACCACTGGGCTACCACACCGTCCCTAGAGAACATGTAGCAAATACCGGGGAAGGGGATGCTATTTTACGCCGCAATCATTATATATTCCCGCTATTATAAAGCGTAATAACGTCTGAACGTCACGGAGCAGATATCCACGCCATTAGGGTTCCACGACTCCTTGCCAGTCGTGTCGTGGTTCACAAGGTAAGAGCGCTGTGGAGATCCAAGGTTACATTCAGCCCCTAGCAACCATTGCTGGTCGCATATGAGGGGATCTACTTGATCGGAGGTCAACGTCAGTGACCTGATTAATTCTATGTCGCCGTATCCCTATTGTGTGAGCTTTATTCATAATATCAATCACAGCGCGTTCTTTTTGTATTGTTTGATCATGTTCAAAATGAACTATTTTTAATAAATTATAGTTTGTGCACAAACGACCTATTTTGAGGGCTCTCTCAGTGATATTTTTCATTAACTATAGACCATTGGCGGATCGGGGTGGGGGTGGGGTAGGGTTCAGGAGTCCCTCCTTAAAAATGACTTAAGTCCACATTGAAGATCAATGAAGATTTTTGAGCGATGGCGGGTGTGTGTGTGTGTGTCAAAACCACCACCCCCACCCCACCCCAAATCCGCCCATGTAGACGTTTTATAAACTTTCTAAACGTGTCATATAGGCTTAATCTTATTAACAAGACAGTTATCTACTTTGGACATTCACATATAGTGTACTTTTGTGTAATTTGAGGAAAAAAAAGTAAATCTATACTTGCAAAACGTATTGAATGGAACGCTATCTGCGGCCAGACACATACGATGTTTTCTTCTCATGTGCCTAGTATTACAAACCCCACAAAAAAGTAAATACGCATGCGTACATACATACGACGTGTTCAGTGCAGCCAGACTATTTATAGTTTGCAGTGAAAACGTACCGATGAATTTCACTTTAAACGCAAAAGTAAGTCGGATTAAGTAAAATTAAGATTGCGAATCTTCATAATTTTACCTTGCCAATCGAACATTTAAATCTCAGAATTTTATTCAACTTAGGATGCAAGTTGTTAAACTATAGTTTCAAATCGCTATTAAACCAGTCTGGCAAGCGGTCTTCAACTGAGAGAGTTGCTCAGGGAGAGGGAAAGGATGGGCGTGGCTTTTAAAATTCATTTTATGCTGATATTCTTGTTTTAAGGTCACCGTCCATGAAACTTGCAACATGATTTGTTGTGACACTAATGCAGCCAGCCAAGTGCGAGAAAACGCCCGAAAACTGAAACATGGTAAAATAGTTTTTAAAATTACCCTTAAATTCAGCTTATGTCTCATGGCGATTTTATTTGTGGAAACGTTCACTTCACTACCTCTGCTTAATGAACAAATATATGTAAATATACATAAGCACTTCCGTACATCGAACGTATTTTAAGAGCCCTCTATATGTTTTCCGACTGTTAATTGCAGATTGTTCAATACACTTATATATATTTTATACGCACAGTATTTTGTAGTTCAGAAGGCAGTTATCTATTTACACATTCGAATATCATGTCAATAATAAGAAATTAAGATCAAACCTACAACATACATACCAGAGGAGGCCTCCCCGAACGAGAAAGGGCGTGAAACTTGAAATTTTGGAGAAACTGCAAGACTTCTGCAAATAAATATAATACATGCATGCGTGCAAATGACGTATCTTTAAAGGCTCTGTACTAGTGGTAGTTTCTGAGTGTTAACTGGGGACATGTTATGCACTTTGTAGATATGTCATATAGGTATAATCTCGTAATCCAGAATTCTTCTGAACACAGGTTTAGATATTGTATCAGCAGATAGAGCAGTCAACCATAGGAATCTCAAAATTGGGAGAAATACAAGGAATTTCAAGAAATTAGGTCGAGATGTTTAAAACAGTTTTTAGATCCTAGGTGTATTTCTGGGACCCTTCTTCAGTTGAATTGCGGAAATTATTATCTGCACAATAAACTGCAATGCATAAATCATCGTAAGTGTCATAACATCTCACATTGCCACGACTGAAACTAGTGATGTCAATCACTGGATTGTCTGGCCGAGACTCCCTCTCCAATAGTAACATATACAGAATTACTTCATATAGATCTGGAATATTGTTGTGAGTGGCCTAAACAACAAACAAGAAAACGAGCCTGCCTGATAACAGCGTGGTGGAGGTCACGTGATCACAAAATTATATTATGCAAACATAAATACTGTCTATCATAGCAGTGTGCGAAATAGTTGACAAATTTTGCTAGCCAGTCGGGCTAGCTATCCCTGATAGTTACTTGCCCACAAAATAATTCACTAGCACGAAATGTGAATGTAGACACAGGTTTCATCATCAAGCTGCTGACAGAGGCCCAGATAAGCTGCGTATCCGGGTAAAATACGCATAAAAAAATTCCAATTACGCATTGAAAAATAATTGTTGCGTACCAATTACGCATTTAAAATGTTAGATACGCAAAAAGTTTAAAACAAATGCGTACGGAATATATTTATAAAAATCGCTTGCGTAATGAAAAAGACATCTATTGCTAACAAGTTATTTTTTCAATGCGTAACTGGAAATTTTCTATGCGTAATTTACCCGGATACGCAGCTTATCTTGGCCTCTGGGACTACTCAGAGAATTCATTTGGGTATGGAAACGGTCTGCACTAATATCTCCTCAGTAAAATCCTGTTTTAACGTTTCCTATCTCCCTACCACTGAGACTGTAGTTGGGCCGAACTTAGATTAACAGATATTTCACACTTTCACATATTCACTACCTAACTTGTAGATATAAATGTGAAAAAAAAAAGTTTTTTCTATTTCCGACAGTACTTTAACTCTATAAGTCAGTTTTGTTTTCGGTTCTCAATCCAGGCGTCTAATATCCATGTTAAAGTGCATCATGTTGGTGTTTCCAATTCAGAAAACAAACCATCCAAAGATTTGAGTCGAGTACAGGTTGAGCTAAGTGTGTCCAACGCTACCTTTTGTCGTACACTTGGTGAGAACGTTTACACAAGAGCAACCAAATCAAAGGGGTCTAAAGATAGGGGAAATGGAACATTCCTCCAAACATCATTGCTAAGCACTTTGTAGTGAGTGAGTGAGTTTAGTTTTACGCCGCTTTTAGCAATATTCCAGCAATATCACGGCGGGGACACCAGAAATGGGCGTCACACATTGTACCCATGTGGGGAATCGAACCCGGGTCTTCGGCGTGACGAGCGAATGCTTTAACCTCTAGGCTACCCCACCGCCCCTGAGCACTTTGTAAACATGTTGTATAGGTGTTGTGTAGTGTTGTATAGGTGTAATCTCCTAATCCTAATCCAGACATCAGTAATCTACATAATATTACGTAAATTACTGTTAATTTGAAAAATTAAGAATAAACACTATACACTATGTATATAATTGAAAATGCATGTATGTAAATATTAGGGAGCGGGTATTTTAAGTTGGATAACTTGTCCCCAATCCCTTTCACATTTGTGAATAAAATATGTTTAAATCAAATCAACACTATGCATTCGATGTTACATCAGAGAAGACCGGCCCGTTCGACAGAAGGCGTGAACATTTATATTTTGTGAAAATGTAAAATCCATATTCAATCCTTAAAAACAACGTTCGTTCCTTGGAACTTCTTTGCTTGTATTGTGAGTATTATCATATTCACAATAAAAATTGTATACACTTTCTAAATATGTCATCTGCGCATAATCTTGTTATCACGAAAGCAGCAATCTACTTAAAGGCACTCGAATATCATGTGTTATGTGTCGCTTTGAGAAATGAAAATATTAACCTACGATATGCATTCAGTGCGACACTAGCTCCAGCATTCAGCCACATACGAGAAATGGCGCGAAAATTTAAAAAAAAAGCGCAAATATAAAAGCAACTTTTGACCCTTAAAATAAACATGTATGCTTGCGGTTTCTTTGGCGAAGATAATTTTTAATATCATAATCTCCCCTCAAATGTAAGTCTGCATGCGTGTACATGCAACTTGATCGAGGCAACCCACGCAGATAGATTTTTAGCTGTGATCGCTAAGGTTTTATATCAATTATTCAGTTGTATATTACGCATAGTATTTGCACAATAAACTAAAATATATTAATCAGCGCAAGTGTGATCACATTTCACATTACCAGGACAGCAAATAGTGATGTCAGTCACTAGATTGTCTGGTCCAGACTCTCTTCAGCTGCCGAGCCCGCAACCTAGCGGCATGGCAAAGGTCACGTGATCAAGGTTAAATCAGGCAAATACAAATATAAATGTGTGCATACGGGATTTCAGTGGAAAGTGAGTGAGTGAGTGAGTGAGTTTAGTTTTACGCTGCACCCAGCAATATTCCAGCTATATGGCGCCGGTCTGTAAATAATCGAGTCTTGACCAGACAATCCATTGATCAACAGCATGAGCATCGATCTGCGCAGTTGGGAACCGATGACAGTGGAAATATAAACACAGCAAGATGACTATTACAATTACAGGACTGCAGAGAGAATGCATTTGGATATGGAAACGATCTTACTTCATATACATCGTTTCTCAACTCTTTCAGCCGCTCCAAGCTGATGTCTGTAAACAAGTTGCTTTCCTCGTGTCAACAACAGCAGGTGCAAGTACACTGGCCAAGGTCGGGGACAGAGACTATGACGTCAGCATCGCCAGATATGACGTCACGCCGCCAAGACAAACCAGTCAGGGCCCCGTTTCACAAATCTATCGTAGCGCTACGACTGTCCAAAGACGTATATATACGTCTTTGGGCTGTCCTAAGTCAATGTTACAGTAGGCTATAGGAGGTACGAATGCTACGAGAAAAGTTACGAGGTCTTAGGCTTACGAGAGCTTTGTGAAAAGGGGCCCAGCCTAAGATCTCATAAATATAACTTTTCTCGCAGCACAATCTTACGATTTTATGGGCGTTTCACGAAACTTTCGTAGTCTTACGATACCTTTAATTTACAATAAAAAGTACGGTAAGTATTTGCACCCGTAAATGAGCTTTAATGTCGTAAGTCAAAAACAAAATGGCGTATTATATATTGTTAAAAGAGAAACTCAGCAAGAAAAGTATTCAAAAACAGCGTGTTTTTCAGGATCGGACATTGAGACTGGACATCGTAGGTGACGACAAACTTTATATGATAAGAGGTGAGGTGAAATTGGGTTTAACGTCGTGCTTGAGAATATTTTGCTCATATGACGACGTGCATGCGTGTGTATGTGTATGTGCGGCTGCTTGTACTAGCCCAGTCTTAAGCTGGTTTTATAGTGCTAGCCCACTGAGATACCATGCCGCAGTAAAGCATGAATACCCCACTCAGACACATTATACTGACTCCGAACCGATCAGTCCTTGTTGTACCCATTAATGACGAGCGCCGGGCAGGGACCAACAAGTACCATATTTTAACGTCTTTTGGTATGACGCGGTCGGGGATCGAACCCACGACCTTCCGCTCTCCGGGCGGACGCTCTAACCACTACACCACGGAGGCGGCCTATATGATAAGAGGGAAAGAATGATCGTGGCCTTTTCATAAGCTTTTTAAAGTCACCATTCATGAACTTTAGTTATACATTTGTTTTGACATCAGAGAAACCAGCCAAGTACGAGAAAATTGAAACATGGTAAAACTCATTCTCAACCCACAGAGGAGGGAAGATATGACTTGAGTAACCTCTGTTGGAAGAGAATTGGGTAAAACTGTAAAAGTCATTTTTTACCTTAAAAAAATCAGCTAATGTCTTTTGGCGATTTCATGTGTGGAAAAGTTCATTTCATTACCTCTGATTAATTAACAAAACTATGTATACAGAGACGAAAGGTTAAGGTTTCACTTCCGAGCATTGACTGCCAGAGAAAGTAACAATGTCTCACAGAGCAGAAGCCGCTATTCAGTATCTGCAGAAAACAGTGATTCCATGGCCTTCCAAATCGCCTGACCAATTAGGACTCACATTTACTTGGTGTGATGATATTTGGGATTGGGAACAAATATATTGTACATGGATTTAGAAAATGATTATTCAAATCACAACCTGTTATTAATTTAGTGCAATAGTTTTACATGATGTGCACGTGACATTTACAGTTATACCGCAAATACGTGTCAGTGTGTTGCTGTACATCTGATAGCAGCCCTTACAAAATCGCCATTTTTCAAACAGTTCACTGGTCACGAGGGGGACATGGGACCCTCTATGTTTGTTTATGTTCCCTGAGCCCAACGGACAGGAAATGGACATTTACATTACATTACTGAAATATCAAACATTAAAACAATAGCATTCCAAACTCACGATGACAGCCTGACTTGTGTACTGTGATTTCTTCCATCTGGAGAGGCGTACAGCTACCGGATGTGTGACGTCACGCCGTGCACGGAAGGTCCGTGCTACCCGCCCGTGGCTGCCATTATAGGACCACGTCTTTTTTATGTTAACGTCTTAGCTCGGTAACTGGATTTAAAAGGGACATTGGCATCGTTGGAATCATGGAAGCATAGTAACTATGTGGAAGAAATACCACCACATAGAAACATCGTTAAATGATGGGGTTCTGGACTGCCAAATACTGTTTAGGGACCGTTCATAATTTATGGTTTGGGGGGAGTGATGATTTTTATGGAGAAGCATGTACAATGTGATTGACCCCCCTAAAATTTATGTACAAAGTAAGTGAGTCCTCTCTGCATGTCATGTACAAAATCAATGACCCCCCTCCCCCAGCTTCCCATATTTTGTATGCCTAATTTTTAAATAAATATATGTACAAAATTGATGACAGCCACAACCCCCCAGTACACGTGTACAAAATTGTTGATTTCCCCAAGAACAAAATGGGTGACACCCCCCTAAAATCATACATACATAACACACACCATAAATTATGAACGGTCCCTTAGAAGAAAATTGTAGTCAGACGATTTAAAGCGGGGGAAAATGATTCGGTTGCAGAAGCAGCATGTCCCATATGTTAAGTACAAAGCAACATGGCTATGCTTCTATTATGGTATGACCGAGTCGAGCAGGAATAACACCCCCATCCCACGAATGCAAATAGTTTCCCCCCGTTTTATTACATTTCCTAGAGGAAACTTAACAGTTAAATGACATTATTTTATATAGGTTATATTATTATCATTTATTATATCGTCTCTGCTGTATCTAATGTGTAGATAGTTTCAAGTGAAATGGACAAAACAAAAATATTTTGTTGAATGATCTGCATATTACAGGAAGAATCGATACATCGTGATGTGCTTTGGCAGAGGCGCTAGGGTGACACCACAGTCGGCAATATTCCAGTTATACAACGAGTGTCTGAAAACAAAGTGTGGACCAGACAATCAAGTGACTGAACAATGAGGTCAGGGTACAAAGACGAGTCAGTCAGTCACCACGTCATCCACATGGTCAACTTTTCCGACCACTATCAATTGTTGAGGTTCACTCTAACCCTACAAGGAAACTCCAGACAAACAATATATCTGAGCACTTTATTCAAAAACAGACACAACAATTTGAAATGCTCCACATCTCGCTCAAGGCCAGGCCCCGTACATAGTAAAGGGAAGCAACTCTTTATGCACCAGATAACCAAACACATGAAATACAGTGTCTGCCTTGTACAATGGTTATTATGAAAATAGCTGACATCATGATCAACATTTGACATCAACATTTAAGCACATCTACAGCAACTACTTCTTAAGTCCTTATTTGATAAGGTAAAAAAACAACAACAAAAAGTAATTCAACCTGGATCTTTTTTAACCAATGATTCTCTGTGACTGAGTGTTGCTCTGGGATGTCCGCTGGGGGAATTGTACCAGGGAGGAATTCTACCATGACTACATGAAATACTTGAATTTGATTGGACAATCAATGACATTAGACACTCTCAATTTGGATTGGAAACAATTATGTATGGGAGTTTTCTAATGACAGCTGAAGTCCAGCTGAAGTCCACCTGTCATAATGAGACTGGTGCTTGTATGCCAGGATAGAACATTGTGAATCTTATGCATGAATTAAAAAGTGTGAAACTTAACAAAATGCACGCAAACTTTTCCATTTGGAAACTCAAATAAATCATAACAATTTTAATATTTTCTCAGCAATATTGAGGTTGATTTGTTTAACGCGGCACTCAGCAATATTCTAGCTATATGGTGGTGGTCAGTAAATAATTGAGTCTGGACAAGACAATCCAGTGATCAACAGCATGAGCATGGATATACACAACTGGGATACGACGTCATGCCTTCCTATTATGGACCAGTGGGCATCCTTAAAGCTGAAACACTACAGTTACACAATAACCTCCAGTAAATGATATAACATGGACGTGAACACAAGTGTACAGCGATGGTCAGCTGAGATACAACACAAAATTAACCTCTGAATCAAGGTATCCATTATGGCACTTCAAAAAGGTAACATAAGGCCTATGATCTTAAAGATCTATATTACATTACTTCGATTTGCTCATCTCAGTCATCACTGACAGCAATGGGCGTTCAAACCAGCATACAACCATCTTGTAAACGTGTATATGTCCGTCCAGGTTACACAGAATCTGTCTCTGGTAGGTCGTTTGTCAAAGATGTTGTAAACATACATTTACTAATGTCAAAATTCAACAAAACAACCTCTGGTGGGTTGTTTCGTCAACCATGAAGTAAATATAGTTGTACTTGTGTCCAGTTTCAACAAAAATACTCATTTTGTCAACGTTTTGTCAAGGATGTTGTAAATATACTTTTAGTTCTGTTTAGTTTCAACAAAAACAGTCTCTGGTAGGTCGTTATGTCAACCTTGTAGTAAATATGGTACTCCTGTCCAGTTCAGTATTCGACAGTCTATGCCAGGTCATTTTGTTCGAAGTATTTGGCCACAAGACATATCAGCAAATTAAGTTCCAGCAACTTTGGGTCTTCTTGACTGACCTGAAAATGAAAAATTAGAGAGTAAGTGACTGGTTGAACATTGTAGGTAAGCAAGAATAAGCAATATTCATGCAATATGATGACAATCGACAAGTCTGGACCAGACAATCCAGTGATTAACATCATGAACATTGATCTAAGCAATTGGAGTCGTTAATTTTGTACATAACACGCAGGGGTTGGGGTATTGTGTGTGTTGTTTCCTTCAGTTTGTACATAAAGTTTAGGGAGATCATTCACATTGTACATGCTTCTCCATAAAAATGATCATTTTAGCTGGAATATTGCTAAAAACTAAACAATACTCAATCACTCACTCACAAGCATGGATCGACACAGTTGGGATGACATGCATCAACCAAGCTAGTGAGCCATACCTCCCTATCCTGTTAGCAGAGATGCCAACCTTGAATCAAATGACTGGAGTCATGCCTTACTAAAAGCAACTCCTGAGCCCTGAAGGTGCGAGTTGGGGGTAAGCATGAGAATGGGCTTGGACCCCCTTTTGACAGTGGGGGTCTGGGGGTCTTCCCCTATGAAAATCTTTAGATTTAGCTTGGAAATATGCAATTTCTGGGCATACTTAACCAGATAATACTGAACTCAAATGAACATATTTAAATGGCTTTTTACTAAAATTCTTTCAAACATTCTAAATTTATAAACATATCTGTATTTTCTAAAAATCGGAGGTTTTTATAGACAAATCGGAGAGTGGATTTTGTATTGGAAAATCAGAGTAACTCCTCCAAAATCAGAGTGGTTGGCATCTCCGCTTTAGTCGCCTCTTATGACAAAGATCGATTGCAGTAGATCAATGGGTACGATGTCACAGAAATTAATCAGCTCTTCAGAAGACCAGAAGGATCTGTATTGACCCGAAACTACGGGTGACTATTGAGGGGGAAACAACTATTGTGATAGCGAAAGTCTATTGCAACATACTAATGTGATAGCCTATTGTGACTATTGCAATAGCCTATTGTGACTATTACAATAATTTCTTTTCTCCTTGACATGTCTCATTTGAAGTCATTTCCCAAATTAATGTATAGTGTACATGAAATAAAAACAAGTTAAAGTAGTTTAAATCTCATTTAATAACTGACAAGAAACTGGAAACCCAGACTCAACAATTGCATCGTTACAGCCCTACCCAAAACATCCACTGGTTTACAAAATACATACCAGAGTAGCTCTGAGGTTGGAGCAGAGCCGAGCCAAGTCCCTGATGACAGAGCACGCCTCGGGCAGCAAGGGCTTCTGTAGACTAGCCAGCAAGGCGTAGAACCATCGACCCTGGAACAGTATGTTACAGCTGTGTGGTGAATATAATATAGGTGGGAACATCAGAGTAATTATTGAAAAGAGCCACAAGGTTCTGCAGCTCACCTGACTATATAATATACCAGAAAGTGAGTGAATTTTATGCCACTTTTAGTAATATTCCAACAATATCTCGGCAGGGGACACTAGAAAATGGGCTTCAAAAATTGTACCAATGTGGGGAATAGAACCTGGGACTTCGGTATGGTGAGCGAACACTTGAAGCACTATGCTACACCACCTACCATGATGCTCTTTGAAATCCTGACAAAAAGGGCATGCTTGATTGTGTCTCAACATTAATGCATCGTCACTTTGATCTGATTAGGCCAGACCAATTTTATTTCTTGTTTTACGGATTTTTGTCCTCAGAAAACCTAAAGGCAGGAGGGAAAAAAATAACAATAAAAATCACCAGTCAAAGTAATATTCCTTTTAAATACTAAAAGTATTTTATTTTTGGCAATTTATGAAGTGTGTATGGGGCAGAAAAAAAACAATCAAATTTTTTTGGGGGTATGTGAACAATTTTGGCCAATACAGAGATGAGGATTTTATTTTTTTGTGCAGGGAAAATTAATTTATTTTTTTTCTTATTCGTGAAAAAATACAACTAGGGATCCGTAAATCAAGAAATAAAATTGGTTTGGCCTTAATTGAAATTTCTTTTTAAGATTGATTGGAAGGTCCAAATTACCATGCATCAAACTGTTTTCCCTAACTGAATACAAATACTTTTGTCCCCTCTATCAAGTTCCCAATAGTTCAAATCTTTATAAAGGTTTAGTCATCAGTCTTAACCTTTCAACCAGTGGTTGACATTATGACGACGTACCACACCATTGGGAAAGCCAGCAATACATCTGACAAGTCAGCTTTTACGAGGAGTGGGGTGAGTTAAATGGGGGCTTAACAACATGTTAAAGATTACTGATTGGGACATGCATGCACTTCCATCCACATAATGAAGACAGCCATGCAGTGTAACAAGAAGTATCAGGATATAAAGTGTTTTCCTCTTTCCAGGACATAAATGTAGAATAGAACTACACAATATTTATGTATTTATTTAAGAGCTTCTTGAGCATAGAGTTGATCTCATATGACAAGAAACAGACTGTGGGTAGGTACATATGGAGTAGTGGTTAAAGTGTTCATTCGTCGCTCTTAAGACCCGTGACCCGTGAAGGTCCGGGTTAGAATGAACCTTCAGTAACCCATGCTTGTCGTAAGAGATCGGGTGGTCCCGCTTGCTGGCTTGGTTGACACATGTCATCGGTTTCCAATTGCACAGATCGATGCTCATTAGTGTTGGGAATTGGTTAAAATCTCATAATTGATGATTGGTTCATTACAACTGATCAATGATTGAAAATAATTGGTTAGCGTCATTTATGAAATGTTCCTGGTTATTTTTGTTAATGCTCAAATAAGGAGAAAAACAAGTAGTTCTTTGGGTTTTTTTGGTGCAAAATGTCATATCTTTAAAGGATGACAAGTATGTAAGGAACATACATTTCTTAGAGTCTTTAAGATATATTCAATCATAACTTGGAACGAGCTTGTAGTGCTTATGAAATGTAACAGACAAAACCAACCTTATGAAATATATTGTTTATGAAAACAAGTGTTCCAGAATTGTTTGTGTTCGATTATGAGAAAACATGATCGATTGCTTGGTCGTATAGTCACTGCGACCAATCTTCAATTATTTCAATTAATCGGACCACCACTAATGCTCATGCTCTTGATCACTGGATTGTCTGGTCCAGACTCGATTATTTACAGACCGCGGCCATATAGCTGGAATATTGCTGAGTGCGGCGTAAAACTAACTCACTCACTCTTTAATACCTGTGTTTGATTCCTGTATGGGATGAATGAAGGTAAAAGCCCATTTCTTGTGTCCCTTACCGTGATATTGCTGGAATATTGCTAAAATTATAATGGTATAAAGCCATATTTACTCATGTAAGAAGTGCACACATACCTGGTGTGTGGTGAAGCCGGTAGCCTCAAGCCAGTTCACATGGAATTCTAATACTTTGATCACCGTGGTCTGAAACAGCAAGGTGAGTCAACATGGTGAGTCAACATGGTGAGCCAAGCAATGAACACCAAGTCAATGAATTGAGATACATCAGAATTTTAAATTCATTAGTACATCGGAATTTGTCTCTGATATATCTGGATCTCTGTCAATACCAGATCACATTTACCCTCCTGAATTTGTTATGTTTACCTGCCGCCATATAGCTGGAATATTGCTGAGTGCGGCGTAAAACTAAACTCACTCACTCCAATGTTTGCATATCGTTATGTAAGATTTCTTTAATGCCAGACTTTAATGAGACTTTGAGAACTGATATTGAGGGACAGAGGGCAAATTCATCATGTTCCTTAAACCACTCAATGCATAGATCGATGCTCATGCTGTTGATCACAGGATTGTCTGGTTCAGATTCAATTATTTACAGACTGCTGCCATATAGCTGGAATATTTAAGTTCTGCGTAAAACAATAAACAAAACGAAACATATCCTTAATCCCCTTTCACACCAGGGAATGTGCTTTTGTTAGCAAATGACCTGATCACAACAAAGGCTGACATTATGACAGGCCTCAGTTCAGCGGTATCACACCCAAAAAATATATAAAAAATGAAAACGGGTTCTTGAATATATGCTTGTCACCAGGAATCTGGAACCGGAAGTAAGCTGGTCCCCGTCTCGCATATCGCAAATTGGCCTCGTAAAGGGAGTCGGGAACCAGCGTAGTACCGAAAGTAGTGCCTCTCGATACTTACAGGCCCTATTGCAAGGTTTTGCTTCAAGGCCTAGTGTCTTTCAGTTGTTTCACAAGATCATAAAAATTTGTTTGGAAAAAAATAACATGACCTCACCTGATCCATGTAGAGGACGATGCTGAGCAAGGGTGGTGTCCCTTGCATAGAGGTCTGCGATGGTGCTGCAGGCTGGTCCTTGTAGACTCCCGCTGGCATCTCTCCTTCAACCATGGCTTCCATGCCCTCCTCCTGGCTGCTACTCAAAACTGATCTGATTTTCAGTCGATCGAAACACAAGCGGCACCAGCTCTCTGCATCATTAGATGAGGGCTGCAAGAAGGACCTTCATATAAGATAAATATGCACAGTGAGTGAGTTAAGCTTAACACCACACTCAGCAATAATCCAGCTCTATGGTGGCTGTCTGAAATAATTGAGTCTGGACCACACAATCCAGTGATCAACGACATGAGCATCGATCTATGTTATTGGGATATGATGACATGTGTCAACCAAGTCAGCAAGCCTGACCATACAATCCTGTCAGTCACCTCTTCTGACAAGCATGGGTTACTGAAGATCAATTCTAACCCAGATCTTCATTGGTCCACTGTGTGCAAAGGTTCACTTACTGCCACAGTAAGAATCACAATTACCAACAACAGCAGAATATTTATTAGTGGTGTTCCGATGATCGAAAAAAAACACGAAAATCGACCGAAAGAAGGATGAAAAATGATTATCGATTGTGAAAATATATTTTTGATTAATCGGAATTTTGTTGTTTTGTAAAACAAGCATACTAACCATTTAATTTGATGAATATTCAAGAACAAACATGCGCTCAACAGGGTAAAGCTGTGCACACTGTAAAATTGTAACCACTTTTATTGTTTAATTACAATTCCAGTGTCTTACTTGCATGCATGCATTTCATTGCATGACAGAATTAGTTATAATAAAACATTAATTAGAAAAAAACTGGGGAAAACCCTTAAAATTGGTGATTACATAAAAAATGTATATATGATTATCTAAGTCCTTCGCTGGCTGTACATCTGAATTTTTCAATTCTTTCCGCTGCCGGGCTGTACATCTAGGGTCCTTTTCGCCTGGTTGCCGCTGTACATCTAGGTCCTTCTGGCCAAGGTGGTTGATTGACATCGCCCCGGCTGCTACGCTGAGTTCACGCTTGGAGCCTTCAGCGATATTGGTCCTCCATTGTTTTGATCATGTCTTCTACTGGAAATCATCTGCGGTGTTAATGGAGGGTCCACCGGAAAATCGGGTCCCGACATCAGTGTAGATATGCGCCGCATGGTATCTCTGCCATTGACGCCGGGATGATTTGATGAGAATATCGGGCTGGAACAATTCGCTGAGAAAGTCCTAGTAACTGAAGAGGTCACGCCAGCCCTGGGTGCGCGACGCCTGCTGGAGTGTTGGCTCAACATCGCGATATCTGCGCTGGTAAAGCTGTGTCAATCTTTGATACATCCGTATGATGACTGTAACTTCTCGGCGGGAAATTGTTAACCACGATGGATGTCTTTATTGCCCCACACCTCTCCACCACTCTTTTAGGGTTCCGTATCATTACACTCTGCATACGCATCGACTCCATTCGCTGTAAAGCAAGCTAAACGAAAGCAAATATTAATAAAAGGTAGAATTGGATAAATTAGTACCGCGAACTAATGTGAATATAATAAACATGGCTGCATAATCATATTAAAGGCGGAGTGTGAAACAAACACGGGGCCCCGTGAATAAACTGTAGAAAAACGCACTAAATATCAATAATATATAATGAAGGATAAGCTAAACCTCTATAGATGTCTATAGGTAACTAACTAAAATAACTAAAGGATATAGTGGGGAAGGTATTCTTCACTTCCACTACCTAAGAAGGTGAGAGTGAGGCACATTCGCTCCTCCCACAGTGATAACTCGTGGGTGAATACTAAAATAATGTATATATTTCGATTATAATCAATAATCGTTCACCACAAGTACTCTGATAATCGATAGTGGATTTGGTTTCCGATTCCTAACACTACATTTTATCTAAACTTACCAGGGTTGGTTTCTTCACATTTAATTCTCCGGAATTTAACATAGCTCGGAATCTAAGCAATTTCTGGAAGAGAAAATACAAGAATACTTCCATAAAAGTTGAGCAATCAATAAGTTGAGCTGATTAATGTTGATCAAAGCAGACAACAATAATCCTGCTGTTGGATCGCAGCCTGAAAATAATCAAATCTGGAACAAAGAGTGAGTGAGTGAGTATGGTTTTACGCTGGTTTCAGCAATATTCCAGCAGGTGGTGCCAAGAATGGGCTTCACACATTGTACCCATGTGGGAATCGAACCCGGGTCTTCAGCATGACAAGTGGCGCTTTAACCACTAGGCTACCCCATGCCCCTGGATCACACAAACCAGTGGTGGACATCATGGAACCCAAAATATGAAGAAAGGACATTATTTATTTCAGGCTTGGATGTCAGATAAAAAGTTCTTATTGTCTTAATTTCAGAGATATTGTAACATTGAACTTTAATTAAGGAATGTAAGACATTGAACTGAAGCCTCATCCTCATCTTAAATACAAATCACCTCCACAAAGACATGACAGTAGTTGAACTATAACAGCATGAATGTGAACTGTCTTATTCAAACTTGGAACTTTTACAAAAATTTGTTGACAAGGTTCCAAATGTCAGCCTCTGAGGCAGTGTATGAAATATAGTGTCTGGTCTGGTTAAATCCATTTTGGACTGGTAACCCCAGACGGAGCATGAAAAGTGAGGTCTAGATTTGCTCTTGCTAGCCAGCCCAATGGTCTGGTAAAAATTTAGATGTTATATACATCTGAGTCATATCTTGGTGTCTGGTCTGGTTAAATCCATTTTGGACTGGTAACATTTTGAAGTTACCAGCCCTGATGTTTGGCTGGGGTTTTGGCTTATTTCATACACTGTCTGAGGTCCTGATATATCCATAGAAACAGTGATTATTTTGTGCGTAGTGTATACAGTTTGATCTGACATATGAAGGGCTACCTCACCTGTCTCAGTTCTGCAAAGTCAGCAACTTGCATCTTCTCCCAGGCTGGTGAGGGTGCCAGTCCCCGAGGAGCAGGGATACAGCTGGATGGCTGGGAACCGGAGCAAATATCAAACACATTAAGAACTTCATCAACAGCAGACAGCTCTAGCTAGACTAATATCTGGGCAAACAAATATTGAACAGCTCTACTTTCATCTCAAACTATCCAAATTTTTGTCATGGACACCAGAAACAAATCTGATAAGCATGATCTGCAAAAAACACCCAAATGGCAAAAGGGACTAGGCTAGGCTGATATCTGTACAAAATTGATAAAGAAATATTGAATGGTCTTTGACTTAAGCTCTGGAAACATATTTCAGTTATTTATAACAAGGTTTGTCCGGGCATGCGAGGAAAGTCTGAAACAAACCAACTGGTTACCATTATTACACATATTGAGGGTGTGTCTGGACTTTAAACCCTTGACCATACATTCCTGGAAATGACTACGGTAAAGAGCTCTGCCTCACACACACAGGGCAACCTGTGATTCCTCCGATTACATTTCCTAGGAGTGTGCAGAATAAGACTACTTCCAGTTTCAGATACACTAACATTAAAACTTGGGCAAAAATGTTTGAGTCTCACAATGTTTCAAATATGCCATCAGATTGATTGAAATAGTGTCAAGTGCTTCACTCAGCACCAAGGGATGACGGAGGCTGAGCGGTAGCCTAGTGGTTAAAGCGTTTGCTCATCATGCCAAAGACACAGGTTCGATCCCCACATGGGTACAATGTGTGAAACCCATTTCTGGTGTTTCCTGAAGTGATATTGCTGGAATATTGCTAAAAGCAGCGTAAAACCATACTCACTCACTCACTCACCAAGGGATACTAGTCACATGCCAATTGACACTTGTCAGAAGGGTACACAAAGTATGGGACCTAGACTGCCGGTTTTCAGGCCTCCATTTTGGTGGAAGCGGCAGTGGCAGAGTGGATTAAAACACTGGTTATTAGGTGTCTGGCTGATAGTGTGGGTTCGAATCCTGGATGGGATAATCTGTACTTTACTGAGAAAGTGTAATCCCACATGTAAAATGTTACAGTCACAAGAGACAGCAGAGATGTGTCTTCTACAGGGTATGTCTGCTTCAAGCAAAAGAAATCATGTGATTTACCTCTTTATACTTGACTGTCTGTTTACTGCTAAATGCCTTGCCATCAATAGGGGCCACTACCACTTGGGAACATTCCCGAGCCTCTTGTCTGAAAAATAGGTTTTATACACATGAACATGACATACTCATTGTAATTATGGTAATAGGCCTGATTTTGCCAAAACTGATTCATGGATAAAACTGAACCAGATACAATAATACTGTCACTTAAAAGCCAGTATCAGTCACTAACCAGATATCCAAACATTGAACACATGGGTACAATGTGTGAAGCCCATTTCTGGTGTCCCCCGCCGTGATGTTGCTGGAATATTGCTAAAAGCGGCGTAAAACCAAACTCAGTCAGTCAGTCAGTCAGTCAAACATTGAAACTTAACAAACACTGCTAGTTACTTGTGGTGTGTGTATAAACGCATTAATTACTTGTACATCTGAAAAATATCCTCATAATCCAAATGTGATTTGAGCCTGATCCATTGTGCACATGTAATATACAATAAACTATGTTTATAACAAACACGCTCATAATGAACTGACATATTCAACAAGTTGATATTTGGACCACATGTTTTACATGTTCAAATGCACATGACAAACTGCAGTGATAACAAACTAAAACTTTGAGTTTGTTGTAACTGTAGTATACTGTATATCAGTGAGTGTGTGAGTTTAGTTTTACGCTGCTTTTAGCAATATTCCAGCAATATCACACCGGGGAACACATGTGGGGAATCAAACCTGGTCTTCAGCGTGATCAGCGGATGCTTTAACCACTAGACTACACCACTGCCCCAGTAACATTGAAGTCCTGGAATGGTTCATTTATGCGCAATATTACGTTGAACCAGAAGCTGGTAGGGGTAATGGAGGCAAAGGACGATTTGATATGCCATGAGTGGTGCTTAAAATGTTGAATGAAATACATTTAACATGATTAATTATCAGTATGAGGTTGGAAATCTTAAAGCACAACCCTGTGAGGAAATGGGTGTCTATCTTTCATGGTGGCGATATTTTATTTTGACATTAAAAATATTTTTTCAAACTGAGGCGAGGGATGTACATTGCCCACAATTGCTCGCTTCGCATATAGGAAGACTGACCAGTCATTTTTCTCTCTGTTGCCCGTCTCTATTTACGCTTCTTGTGTGAAGACCTAACTAAATACTAACTTGGGGAACAAGAAGTTTGTCTAGTTGCCTCAGAGCTGATAGTGTATCCCACTGTGTATAAATCATGTGTCTAGGGTTTTCTTTACCACGTTTACCATGTTTACAGTCCCTGTAATCACAGTTTAGAATATTAGAGTGAGCTCTATTGCAAAAAAACCGTCATGGAGCACTATTTGTTCAAAAACACATCCCTTGTGGCCTTGTTCCAGAATTGGAACAGGAAATGTTGGTCCTGCAAATGATTGCGGGGCAAATTATTCTGATAATTGGATTAACACACAACAGCAGAGAAGAAAATTTGGTGTTAAATCTTACCTGACCCGTCTGAGATATTCGTTTCCCGTAGTTGGGGGTATGTTCAAATCAAAATTGTCATCATTATCATCAACGGTAAACGCTTGCGGAATGATGTCATTGTCGGCAATATCACTCTCTGTCTGCATCTTCACATCTATGTCTGGGTCTACCAAATTTCAATTTTCGTCCGTCCAGAAAACGTGTTCCGGTTTCAAAAAGTTGAACTCGCACTCGAAAACGTGTTTCATATAAATGGTACAACGTAGACGGTAATGAAGGTAGACAATTATCAGTTTATCACAGCTCTCTTTAAGACACAAAGAATAATTGAAAACAATCAGGTTTAACGAGAAATACTGCTGTTAATTGTGTTGCGTTGCAGTTCGTAGGAACAACCCAGTGTATCTTTTGTACTTCGTTCAAACGCTTCCGGAAAAAGTATTTCCGGTGTAAAGAGAACAGAAAGCGATATAAAGTTACATTTGTTTGATTATTTTGCCACTTTGTAAGTATACTGATGTGAAAGTGAATGACCACGAAAGGTAGTTTGAACTTTCTGAACACACTTACTAAATAAATCTTCAATTACACTGGTATAGATACTATATAGGAAATCTTTGCGATCTATCCTCCAGAACATTTCGCTGATCCAATGGTGTGAATCACCATGATCACTGTGATACGATAATCAGTTTTCATCAGTGTCCCCGTCACTTTGTCATTTACTTATAAAAAACCTGGCCTCTGGTTGTTGTCCACGAATTCATCACATCCCATTTAAGTTGTGTTATGAATTGAGTTTCGATTATCTACTTTTGGAGTTTTAATGCCAAGATGCACGAAAAAAGTTAATATTTTGTACCACACTGGTTTATTCATTCATGGAAATCAAGTGGCTGAAAACAGGTTTCATCATTCAAGTGCTGTGAACAGATCTGATACAGTGGCATACATCATCATACATACATTTATCTACATACATATAGCATGAAGTCTACATACATACATACATACTAACATCTGTTGATATGTGATCATCCCGCTTTGTTTTCCCTCGTTCACTGGATGTCAATATCAATGTCATCACCTCCCTGGGAGCCATGTTAGCACCCGAGTTAGTGTGGCATTCCCTGTACAGATCTGGTTGGGAATAGTCACAGTACTTTGTCAAGTTTCAGTAACCCATGCTTGGCCACCATCTGTAACAATGGGATCAGGGTTGTGAAGCAGGCTCTCTGTTGTGTGATCATGACGGGTATATTGACTTACATGTCACCTGTGCAGATCTGGTTTGGAATTGGTCTTCATCCCAATTAACAATGGGATCAGATCGACACATGTCACCCTATCCCTCATGATGCTGATGACTGATTGATTGTCTGGTCCAGACTCGATTATTTACAGCCCGCTGCCATGTAGCTGGAATATTGCTGAGTGTGGCGTGAAACAACAAACCAACCAAATTAACCATGTTAACAGTTCAAAGATAGAGTTTTCTAAGATATATTTATATAATCATAATAACTGACATAATGTTATTGATGTTATTTTGTTCCAGAAATATAATCAAGCAGAATGGGGAAGGAGAAAGGAGGTTTTTTAACTCCCAAAGCAATAGCCAATCGTATCAAAGCCAAAGGACTTCAGAAACTGCGATGGTATTGCCAGATGTGTCAGAAACAGTGCCGTGATGAGGTGAGATGACATGCTGTTGTTCGTCACTTTATTTAATCACTAGATTATGCCAGGTTCTTTGTGTTTGTTTATATTTGTTATTCATGATTACTCTCTCCTAAGTGGATTGAGCATACTCAGTCTCGATGTTATAACTTTGTCAGTGTGGATTCTATGTTTTGTACACTTTCATTCCAGAATGGCTTTAAGTGCCACATGATGTCCGAGTCCCATCAGAGACAGCTGCTGTTGTTTGCTGAGAACCCAGACAAATACCTTGATACATTTTCAAAGTAAGTTCACACACACATTAAGTACTCAAGTCAGTACTGAGGCAGACAGTTCCACAGGTCTGCAGGGTTTTACATAGCTCTTCGAAACTGGGAGTCCTTGGGACTCAGGGCATAGTTTTTTGAGAGTCCATTTCCAAAATTGGGGATCCATCAATTTGCATTAAATCAGTGATAATGAATGCTTCCCATTTGATAATGATTATGTTAAGATATGTGTTACTTTCAATGTCATTAGAATAATGCTTGTAAATAGAATGTTTATATTTTAATATGGGATATCATTACAAACTCAGAAAGTTCTTTCCCAGAAAAAAATTATATTGCGTCCACAAGGACACACAGGATTTTAGTTTGGGGGTACTTCACCAAATTTCTGCGTCCAATACGCAGGAATCTTGCGTCCATGTAAAACTCTGGGTCTGAGGTCTGAAACTAGACACAAATTACATGGGACCAATGTTTTACTTGCCGTATGGTCCAGTGTTATGTTCAAATTAAATCAAGTTTTTGCATAACAATACATTCATTAGTTACCGGTATTTATATTTTCATCTGTATTAAGAAAGGTAACCATCAAAAGATATGTATAGAGTTTTACTGCCTGCTGACTTCCTACACTATTAAAACATGGTGATTGGTTGCTATATGTAGTGTGCAATGAAAATTACATTCACAAATATAAAGTGCTTTTGATTATCTGTTTATTATTGTTAAAGTAGGTTTTGTCAGATGGCTATTTTGAATATTATATTACTTGTTACAACTTTCTATTTCTGAGAGTCGTTTTACCAGGGCTGTAAGGTCACAATACTATATGTATCCTAGTAATATGGGAGCAACACAGTTTCTATCCTGATACAGTATATTTGGATCAAAACTTCTCTCCATTTTCGCAGTTGAATCTCAAGCCCAAACAATTCATTTATAAATTTCCAACAGCGAAAATTGGATGTTAAACAATGTTAAAGGGGTGAAACATATTACATTGGGGCTCTCATGCAGATTCTGCTTTTTATAGCTTATGGGAAAATACTAGAAATCGGTATAAACATAATCTTGAATAGCTTGTGTTACGGTAGTTTTCATGTTTTCATGTCAGTATAACTTGTAACGTAATGTATTGTGATGCAGGAGCTGTAAATATTGTATTAAATTGTAAACCTTGTATCGCCAAACAATACTGTATTGTTGTATTGTTACACCACTACATTTTCATGAAATTCACTAAAAATATGTGGGTGGATTTTAATTTTGGTGTAACAGAATAAAGTTTTGATAAATTTCCTTAAATAAGGTGAGGTTTCTGTACTGATAGGATCCTGGTTAGTGCCATCCTATTTTCATGTATGTTATTTTTCTTCCAGAGATTTTCAGGATGGGTACTTGGAATTATTGCGGCGGAGATTTGGAACCAAGCGAGTCCATGCTAATATAGTGTACCAGGAATACATCGCAGATCGGGAACATGTCCATATGAACTCCACGATGTGGGAAACCCTCACCGAGTTTGTCAAGTGGTTGGGGAAAGAAGGTGAGTCTCCTTCCTTTCTGTATATCTGAGTATTTGGACCTAAATTCTACATTGATCATGTTGATATGCCACTATATACCAATCAGTCTAAATCTTTTAAACCAGTAGAACCAGCTTTGTATATCATTAATATGTTTACTTTTTGGTTTGTGTTTATGACATTATTTTTCCTTATCCTGACTCATGCTTTTTTGCTTACTCATTCTTCTCTTCTGAACAGTTAAGTGGAAACTTGAATCCCTTCCATTCCCTTAAAGGTCACATGCAACCAAAAAATCAAACATAATTAAAACACAATTATCACTTATTCATGACATATAATATACATTGCTGATTATGAAAAAACATATAAACAAGATTATAAGCGTATAATCGCAAATCAAAAGTGCAATATTTTGTACTTGGGTTTACTTCCCTCGAAACAAAGCACCCGGGATACCGAACTCAGTCAGAATCGGTGGGTGTGCACTCAAGTGTAACAAAGTCTTTCATTGGCTGGTTCATTTTGCCGATGCCCTCACGGCTCATTGTGTGTGTTTATATAGAGATGTTGGGTTTTGAAAATACATGCTCATTGTTTTGTGAATAACATTTTGCAATCAACAGAAATCATAACATGTCATGTGTACAAGTATCACACCTGCCTGTCTGTGTAATTACATCATGAGACAGAGACCGAACTTGGGGGCACGAGCCATAAATCAATGCTTATTACTGAATTCTTTTTGGAGATATAGGTAAAACATAAAACTGATGGAGAAGAAATTTATCTGATGATTACACTGAAGATTGGAAATATTACTACAAGTATGAACCCGTGAAGATCTGGGTTAGAATTGATCTTCAGCAACCCATGTGTTTCGTAAGAGGGGACTAACTGGATCGGGACACATGTTATCGTATTCCCAATTGCATAGATTGATGCTCATGCTGTTGATCACTAGATGTTTTGGTCCAGACTCCAATATTTGCAGACCACTGCCATATACTAGTAGCTGGAATATTGCTGAGCGCGACATTACACAACGACCAACCAACTATTATAATAATGACACTGTAAAACCCTTAAAATGGCCAGTTTCTACTAGTATTCATGATTTGTCAACTATGGGTCAGTCTGGCAAGTACTTTAGGACTAGTGTGAGTTTCTACCTCTGCCCTGTCTGTTGTAGGTGAGTGTGTGGTGGACTACACAGAGAAGGGCTGGTTTGTCCAGTACATTGACCGAGACCCTGAGACCATCAAGCGGCAGGAATCAGTCAAGGCAAAGGAAAAGATGGACATGGACGATGAGGAAAGAACGGCCAGATTTATCCAGCAACAGATTTCAAGAGCATCTCAGTCGGAGACCAAGTCCCACAATCCTGAGTTCACGGAACTGAAACGAGAGGACGAAGAAGAAAAGGGTAGGTTACTGTGTCACTTGGATATCCGAGCTGTTTAAAGGTAGACATCAAGCAATACCCAAAGACTAGAAGACCCAAAGTAACCTGTGACTTACATATGTCATATCTGAATTCTCAATCAACACTAGCATTATAAATACTTTTTTAAACTCTTACCATATTCACCATAATATGTCCCCAGGGACATGTTAGAATGAGTGAGTGAGTGAGTTCTGTTTTATGTCGCTTTTAGCAATATTCCAGCAATAATACGATGGGGAACACCAGTGAATTGGGCTTTTTGTATATCTTAGTTTGATAATTACACCCGAACTCAAGTACAAACACTCCATTTTAAAATATTCAAGAATATTCATACATGGATGCTGATTGATTCACTGAATACGCAGGTGAAACATAACAGTCCTTCCAGTAGCTGAAGTTACAGACTGTCTATCTACCGAAAGTAGCAGATTTGATAAACATGGCTGTTTGTTTCACTTCAGTTACTTTCTGTCTCGACTCCGGAGCTAAGAAGAAAGAAGAGGCAATGTTCAAGTAAGTTCACTATGTTCGTATGACTGGTGGAATCTCCTAGGTATTCGGGCATCATCATAAAATTTAGTCACACCATCATGAGGAGTTGTAAGATGAAAATAACTGGTTCTCAGTAGTGGTGATCCGATTAATGCAATCAGAGATTGGTTGGTAAAATTGCAATCTCGATTTCTCTTGATAACAAGTTGGAATCTTGTTTTCATTAACAATATGTTCACAGTTTTGGGTAAGAGTCCCTACAAGCTTGATTCAAAGACAAATGTTAAAGATTCAACTGTATGTTCTGCTACATTTTAAAGTCACATTTTGCCAAAACACCCCAAAAGAACTACATGTTTTTGTCCTGGAATAATGCCAAATTTCATATTGAAGATTTCTTGATATTGCACATTTTGTCACATTTGTTTACTGGAATAATGCCTTTTATTAAAGATTTTGGTTGTTTCGTTGTGCACCGGCGGCTTCGGCTATAGCTTATGATATCAATCACTGCTACGTGGTGACCTGTAAATAATGCAGAAGTGGTCGTTGTTCCTCCGATATGTATATCAGGTACCGTTTGCATGCAGGGCAGTGGGGTAGCCTAGGTTACAGCATTCTCACATCACACTGAAACCCGGGTTCGATTCACCTCATGGGTACAATGTGTGAAGCTCATTTAGAGCCCCTAATGATTTGTCATGTCCTGATGTTGGTGTTGGTTCTGTGATTCAGGAAGCCCCAGGATAACCCTCTGAAGAAAGTGGACAGCAAGTCAGTGTTTGAGAAGGGGGAGAGTTCTCGGCGGGAGGGGAAGATTGACACGGGGGCAGAGATGAGGGGACAGAAGCGGAAAAGTGCACTGGGTGAAATCATGGAGGTCAGTCAGTACACAACAGATCCGTGAAGATCCGGGCCAGAATCGATCTTCAGCAACCCATGATAGTCATACAAGGCCATTAGCGGGATCGGATGGTCGGGCTCGCTGACTTGGTAGACACATGTCATCATATCCCAGTTGCGTAGATCAATACTCATTATGTTGATCATTGGATTGTCTGTCCCAGGCACAATTATTTACAGACTGCCGCCATATAGCTGGAATATTGCTGAGTGTGGGGTTAAACAACAAACCAACCAACCGACCAACCGGTACACAACAGACATGTTTTGTTTAGCTGGAAATGCACTCACAACCATAATAACCCAAGGGACTAGTAATTTCTTAGAGTGACGACAGTGCCATGAGATTAGTCTAAGGACTGTGTTTTTCTCAACCGTCCTCCCGTTTAGATTACAATTGTTCAACATCAACCCCACCCAGACACAGACCACCTGTATATAATAAATAAATGGTGAAAATGTATTGTTTTTTCATAGTCCCCTTAATCTCACTGGCCTCCCCTTCCTATAATAAATTACCAGTACCTATCACATGTGGACTTTGTTCCAGAATTTAAATCAAAAGCAGGTAATTTTGATCACCGAAATGAAAATGGTAACAAGCTTTTAAGCTTCAGTGAACACTACTGTTATTGCTTGCCTAACATTTTGGTCACTGCATCATATTAAGCGATATATTTTAACTTTACCTGATGTTTTACAAGTTCTGTTTTCCTGATATCTGAACATATGTAATTAGATTGCAATACTTACGTGGTCACAAGTGAAGATTTATCTAGAATTGGTTTAAAGCAGTTAATGAAAGTAGAGGATTAGGCTTGTTGTCTTGGGTAATGCATGTCATTGTATATCAGATGTATATTTCAATGCTCATGATGTTAATCACTGGATGGTCTGATCCAGACTCGAACATTTACTGCCATCATATTGCTTTCATATTGCTTGAACTATTGCTGAGTGGAAGAAGATTGGTCGTAGTGACTTAAAAGCAAATCATAAAATGTCGAACACAAACAATTCTGGAACACTTGGTTTCATTGACAATATTTTCACATGGATGGTTTTCATTTTAACGCTTTTAGCAATATTCAAGTCATGATTGAATTTATCTTAAAGATTCCAGAAATTTATGTTTCTAACATTAGTCATCCTAAAGATGTGAAATTTTGGACCCCCAGAAGAAACCCCTTATTTTAATGTGCTAATAAATGACACTAACTAATTATTTTCGATGATTAAACGGTAGTAATGAACCAATCATCAATTATGAGATTTTAACCAATTCCCAACACTAGTTAAAACAAACAAAAACACAAACAAACAAACTCAAGGTAGTGAGATATGTGTAAATACCACAGGGGACCTAGTTTTTGATAACTCTAGCCTCAGATGTTGAAGTTGTGTCTGTTTTGTCCCCAGTTCGAGGAGAAGAAGAAGGAGAAGGTCAACCGGAAGGACTACTGGCTCCAGAAGGGTATTGTTGTCAAAATTGTGTCCAAGAAACTGGGGGACAAGTTCTACAAGAAGAAGGCTTATGTAAAAGTAAGAGAAGTGTTTTAGTTTGCTGCTGATAGAATACATCTTGTATGCTGAACAGTATTTTGACATAAATGACATCTAGAAAATAACTGCGGTGAAAAAATCCTTTATTACTCAATGTAAAACTAAACCACTTCAGGAACAGCGTGATGTATAACATCAGCCGTTAAAGACTTGTAGCTGAGGGATAATAAACTGTATCTGCACAAACCATTTCCTATCTTTTGCTGCAACAATGCCATTTTTATTTAAGATGTTTGGAATATTGAGCGGCGTTCAGTCAGTCAGTTGTGCAACAGCTGTATAACTTCAGTAGCTTGTAGCTGAGGGATAATGTATGTTTTTTTCACAAAATTTAACCAGCAAGCGGTTCGTTTTCAGTGCTCGTGCTCCTTTTTGAAGCCAGTCAGAATTTGATGAAATATACTGAACAGCAAAAGAAACGCAACTTTCGAAAAAATGAAATCTCATAAAAGTAAGCGTTCATGTCTATGGAACGTTCATGGTAAAGTGACGTGAATGAACCCAGATGAGATGATGTCATGCAATTTGACGTCCATATGAGACAATCGCACAAACACACCCACAGTGCAGCAAAACCATAATTTTAGCACGTGCATTTACGGTTCTGGATGGAAATCATGCATTTCACTCTGAGGTATCCTTTATAAAGGTTTGTGTAAAAAAAAGTTCAGTATTGACGCTAAGAGGTGTACACGCCACACAAACGATGCGTAGACCAACGACTGAGCAGAGGGGAATGGCCATTGGAAAGTTGCACGGAGGTAGCTCTGCAACCGCTGTAGCTAGACAATTGGGCTGTCATCTTACCACATTACACGGCTTGCTCAACGTAATCAGCAAACCGGGTTGCTGCTGATTGTCCCCGTACTGGACAGCCACAAGTTGCAATTTATGCGCAAGATCGGTTCATCCGGGTCACTCATCTAAGGAACCGAACTGAAGCAGCAACAGTTACAGCAGCCTTAGTTCATGGGTCAAGGGGAGCAGTGTCCAGCGATACAATTAGGCGTCGTCTTCGGGCTGCTGGAATCCACTGCCGACGGCCATATGTGGGGCCAAGTTTGACCTGTCAACAACGCCAGCTACGTTTACAGCCCTCACACAGCAAGGGTGTCGATGGATTATCTGTCTCAGAACAACATTAACGTTCTTCCATGGCCATCTCTTTCCCTGGATATGGCTCCCATTGAACATTCTGGGAACGAAATTGGACGGAGGATTGCTGCAGGTAGACAGCCACTCACACTTGCACAATTGGAATAGGGATTGGTGTTTGAGTGGAACCACTTGCCTCAGGCATTCTTTCAGACTCTAGTGAACTCAATGAGGTGACGTTGCACGGCCTGTGTGCAAGCTAAAGGTGGCTATACACGCTACTAAAGAGACTGTCACTTTTCGCGTTCAAGGGTATATCCATTTGAAGGACTGTGATCAATTTGAACTTATTGCAAGTCAATGTCAACAGCAACTTTCAGCAGTTAAATTGACAGTGTTTTCTATAGAATAAATGACTGAACATAATTTTGGTTGTCTTCTATTGAAAAATTTGGCAAAAAGCTAGACTTGCGTTTCTTTGAAATGTCAGTACCATCCAATGTTGATTTTTAATGTTCCAGGAAGTAAAGGACTTGTACACAGGGATCGTCAAGACACTGGATTCAGGTGACACCATCAAGGTGGACCAGACCCATGTTGAAACAGTCATACCTGCTATAGGTAATGTCGTTAACTCTAAAAGTGTTCTCCTGAGACAGTCATACCTGCTATAGGTAACGTTAACTCTAAAAGTGTTCTCCTGAGACAGTCATACCTGCTATAGGTAATGTCGTTAACTCTAAAAGTGTTCTCCTGAGACAGTCATACCTGCTATAGGTAATGTCGTTAACTCTAAAAGTGTTCTCCTGAGACAGTCATACCTGCTATAGGTAATGTCGTTAACTCTAAAAGTGTTCTCCTGAGACAGTCATACCTGCTATAGGTAATGTAGTTAACTCTAAAAGTGTTCTCCTGAGACAGTCATACCTGCTACAGGTAATGTAATTGTTCCCCTAAATAGTGTTCTCTTCGAAGGTTATTCTAGGGCAGGATATGTCCTCATCATCCATGTAAAGGCAGTTATACCGGTCTTTATCCACTTGTCTATGAGGTTAAGTGTAGTAACATTCTGTTCTGTCAGGTAAACCTAGCTTATAATAGTTTTATATGTGATAATACTCAACTTTACTGAAAATGATATTAAGTTTAGGAGTAATTGAGTAAGGTTTTAAAACATACTCTAGAAATTGTCCCGTGAAGATCTGGATTAGGCTTGCTTTTCAGTAAGAGGCGACTAACAGGATCGGGTGGTCAGGCTCACTGACTTGGTTGACACATGTCATCGGTTCCCAATTGCACAGATCGATGCTCGTGCTGTTGATCACTGGATTGTCTGGTCCAGACTCGATTATTTACAGAACACCTCCATGTAGCTGGAATATTGCTAAGTGCAGCGTAAAACTAAACTCACTCACTCACTATTCTGACAGTAACAAGGGGCTTCACACATTGCATCTTCTGAAATTAGTTCTTATTCAATGAGCTGATAATCTATGAAGCATCATCTATTGACCTTGACCTTTTCATCTCTTGACTTTGACTGAAAGTGCATCATTATCGGCTGTGATTCAGGCAAAGAAGTGATGGTTGTGAATGGAGCATACCGAGGAGAGAGGGCGGTACTGGAAGACATTGATACCAAGAAATTCTGTTGCACCATCAAAATAAACTCAGTAAGTTGACACACCTATCACACCATTTGAAGGTTGATTTGGGGAAGCTTTAGGTTGACTATGTGACAGCATCCTTTAGATGTTCCAGATCAAGGGTTGAATGACTGATTCACAATTGTGATTTTGTGCCTTGGCTATATACTTGCAACATTATCGTAAACATAATCTAAATCATGCAGATTGAAGTACCCACCAGCCATGAAAGATTAGCTGTAATCCTATGAAAAAATCAGATGCCCTTTAAGTGGTATATGTTTAGTAGCATATTTACATGGGTAATTTAGTTGCAGGCGATATTTTCATGACATGGCGGTTGATATTGTCCTGGTCAGCTGTGCATGTGTGTGATATTGATATGTAGGAACCTGTAATCATACGTAACCCCTCTGTTTCCATGGTTTCAGGGCTTGATAACAGGTCGTGTTGTTGAAGGCGTACAGTATGAAGACATAAGCAAGTTACACACGTGACCATAGGCTCATCCGTTGCTTTGTAGCTGGGAAAGAAGGAATCCCAAAGATCAGTGTCTTGGTTTGGATGTTCAGAAATTGCTGATCTAGAGGTCAAGGTCGACAGTTTCTGAGTGACAGCTTGATTCACAGTGGCAGGGATCTTGAACATCTCTGATCTGATCCCTCCGTGCACTGTCCAAAGGGAGACTAATCTTAGTGCCATAGGCTGTTGGGTATCTGTATCCAGCAAACTTTGGATAACATTGCTGACATACTTATCAGCCCTTTGACACATTCAAAGAAAAATACCAGAACAACATACCTGTGCTGGCACAAGAGTATCTGGAATTCTGACAGGACAAGCGGGATTCAGGATATTCAACAGTTTTATCTCTATCTTCCTCTCTCAACATTTCCTTGTAATTGTATTGAAATGTTGGAAGAGGAGTAAAATCATTTTACATCTACTAAAACATAAGTCATCATCATGGCTAAGTGTTGATGACTTTAACATGTTGAACGAGGCATGTGAGTATTTCCTGGAGGAAAAGAAGATTGTGATTGAAAGATAAACTGTACAGCAGTTTACTGGACAATTGTGTATAAAAAGTTGCTACAATAAATATCATATTTAGAGAAACAAAATATATTATGCATTTTCTGTCAACTGTCGTTTCGATCCGTGAGTAGATGCAATATATATGATTGTGAATTCTTTGAATAATGTGGACCAAAGTTATAATTATTGGTAACTGCCAGTTGTCTGTGGTCTGTGTTTGCCGCGATTAGGACCCCATCGCAGGGGATCGGCTTATGCACGAAACACCATTTTGACACTGATTTTAAGGGTCAAGTTTGGGGGTCGTCTTATCCATGGGGTCGGCTTATAAACGGTAATATACGGTACTCAATGGCATGTGTTGGTCAATGTCACTATTCCAGTGGAGACTTTCTGTGAAAGAGTTCATAGTGCCTGTCACAATATTTGTCCATATTTATTCCTCTATGACTTCATACCTTGTATCAGATTGCTATAGAACATCATTTAGCTGTAAATATGGAGATATGTGATTCTGTGTGAGAGTATAAAGAGGAGTTGGGGGTGGGGGGTTAAAGATGAGGAATAAAGACAATGTTCCAGTAGTCTCCAGTATTGCTTTGTTTAATTTCAGAGTGCATATGTTTTATGGAACTTTATTTCGAGCATTATTACATTTTTCACCCTGCAGGTATGTTTCAATCCTATGAATGTATGTTTCTTTATTTTGTCAGTAGGACAACTGGGGTTTTGGATGAAGGGATCAAAGCCTGTGAATTCCCTACCCACAAACAGGCTAATAGCGTTTTACACAATCACTTACACAATTCTGATTCCTACATCCTCTCCTCTATGATCAAAACCGCCTCCCGTGGTGTGGTGTTTAGAGCATCTGCCCAGAGAAAGGTCACGGTTCAATCCCTTGCCACATCATGCCAAAAGATGTCAAAATATGGTACTTGTTGTTCCCTGCCTGGCGCTCGGCATTAATGGGTAAAACGAGGACTGGTCGGCTCGGAGTCAGTATAATGTGTCTGAGTGGGGTATTCATGCTTAACTGCGGCATGGTATCTCAGTGGGCTAGCACTATAAAACCAGCTTCAGTCTGGCCTAGTACAAGCAGCACCACATACACACACGTCATATGAGCGAAATATTCTTAAATATACTAGGCACATAAAGAAACTGTGCATTGTCAGAATATTATCCCAGTTGATAAGTACGATAACAATGTCAAAGGTACATATAAACTTTAATGGAGGGATCATGAGACCATAACAAGTCGGGAGAATTTCAGTTGAAAAGTCAATCACAATGACGTCACGAGTCCACAAGCGGGACAGGGGACATACGACCATGTCACAAGCTCAATAACGGGTATCACCATCGGCATTGAGAACAGCAGTGCATCGACGATGCACAGAGCCGATCAAACGTGCAAGGAAGGCTTGTGGGATGTCACGCCCTTCTCTCAAGTTCTGTTGCAAGGTCAAGGACGTTATCTGGCGGATGAGGAAGACGGCGTAGACGTCGATCCATCTCGTCCCAAACATGCTCTATCGGAGAGAGATCCGGTGAATTTGCAGGCCAAGGCAGTAAGGCAACGTTGTGGTGTTGCAAGAAATCCATAGCAACCCTTGCCGTATGAGGGCGGGCATTGTCCTGTTGGAATGTTAACCCAGGGCCAGGACGTTGCAGAAAAAGGAATTGCCACAGGTCGAAGAATCTGTTCCCTGTAGCCCACACCAGTTAAGTTGCCCTGAACAATCACCAAAGGAGTTCTTTGGCGTGCTGTTATTCCACCCCAAATCATCACGGAACCACCACCAAAGCGATTCCCTCTCAAGACACAGGCCTGTGCATAACGTTCTCCCACGCGTCTATAGGCACGTTGACGTCCATCACTATGGGAAATGTTAAACCTGGACTCATCTGTAAAAATAACATTTCTCCACCAAAACAAGGGTCTGCGGACATGATTTCGGCACCACATTCGGCGAGCTTGTCGATGACGTTGTGTCAGGATAGGCCGTATGGCGGGACGTCGTGGTCTGGTCCCGTGATGACGTAAACGTTGTCGAACTGTGTTGGGGTGGATACGGCGAAGTCCTGGGATGGTTCGGGCAGTCATCACTGCAGTCTGAAACCTGTGGCGAAGATGGGTCACCCTTATCAATATGTCCTGTCACGGCGTTGTTACACGTGGGCGTCCAGAACGTGGCCGATCGATGACGTCATTTGTGTTGTGGTAGCGTCTTACCAGTGCAGAAATGGTGTTCCGGTGGCAGTGGACATGTGCAGCCACTTGTCGTTGAGACATTCCCCCACGGACCATCCCAATGGCCTCATGACGTTGTGCAGACGTGAGCCTTGCCATGCTATGCGTTTCAATAGCCGTTTAATTTTTTGAACGATCGCAAGGGCAGGGGTTGAGCTTTCCAAAGTGACAGTATTGTGTGGCATTCATTTGCTCTGTTTCTCTTTCCCGAATGCACGTGCAACAACGTATTGCACGTCTCAAGGACGAACCCACTGACGTCACGGAACATGGCACGTGCATACATGTTGGATACATGTCACTAATCTCTGAGTTTAAATCCTTATGTGTCTACACAGGTTTGATAAATTTAGATTTTAAATTTTTGTATGCACAGTTTCTTTATGTGCCTAGTATACAATGTTAGACTCCAATTCACCCTTGTGATCTAAATCATGCAGTTTTGAAGTATTTAGTGCTGGACATTAACACAGGCTGAAAAAGGCACCCTCCTTCATTTTAACATTTGGCCTGGTGGGCGAGCTGTCTAAGGCGCCGGGCTAGTAATCCAGCGAGCTTGAGGTGCCGGGATCGAGCCCACCTGTGTAAAAACCTTGGCGTCAGCGTTGTGTGCAGACTCTTTCAGTGTTGTCACAACCCCTACTGTACAGTACACAACCCTGTGCACTTAAAAGAACCCACGAATCCGTTGGTAAATGACCAGATGGTGACCACATGAATACGTGCAAACACCCAGTACAGCAACATGCAGTAAACTTGGACAAAGTACTGTGACTATGTGTCCCAGTCCACCCAACTGCGAATGGGTACCTTGTAAGGATGGGAAAGCCACATTAAGTTAATCCGGTTAGTGGCTGCAAGAGTTGTATGCTCCCCGGGAATTGAGATTGATAAGGGCAGCATTTTCATTTTTTGTGTTTCTCATCGTCGGACCGACCCTTCTAATATTATTGCCAGACAAGCCCCCCAAATAAAAACAAACAAAACAAAACAAAAAACACAAAAAACCCCAAACCCCAAACACACCCAAAAAATAAAATAAAAAATAAATAAACAATAAAACAACCAAGCAAAAAAAAAAACAACTTTTTTTTCCATTCCAACACCGCCGACTCCAACCTAAAACGTGTCGCCTCGTCATATAAAATGCTTAACTAAAATGTTTTAATCAGTCGCTGCCACAAGTCCAGAGTACGCGAGAAATTGTAATAAGAATTACAATAAATGAGAATCAAGAACATTATTCGGATAATTTTGTCTTTAGTTTGTTGGTTTTTGTTTTTTTCCCTCGACCGACCGACCCATGTTCAGAATTTGGTGGGTACGCGAAACATAAAAAAAACATGATGCCCTAATACGAAGTGCCGTTGAGATTGACATCCGGTGATCGAGGGAAAAACAAAGCGCCTGTGAGCAGCCAAGCTGGAGATCGGCGCTATATAAATACAAAATTATAATAATAATATATAATACCACATGATCGTTTTATATTCACATATGTCGTACTAATATATGTGCCTGCAGAATAATATTTGACCATTAACGTAAGTTATAGTGTAAATCTGACGTAAATCATAGTGAAGCAGCTGCAAGTGAGTACGTGAGCAGTGTTGAATCTCCCGGCACAAATATGGAGACCGTAATTGTCAAACGACAAATAAATGTGTACGACATCCAATGGCAGCCAGTAAGACAATTTTGCCCCATTCCAAATATTTCTGTTCTGTTTGTTGTCCCCCGCCGCGACTGGGGACTTAACGAGATATCTCATGCAATGTTGTACCCAATGTCTTCAAATTTGGTGAGTCCACATTGGGGGATTACGCAGACACCAGTCGACGTGGGTGACTTTGACCCTATCTTCAAGGTCACCATGACACTTTGACCCCTTTTCAAAATCATGTAAATGCGATATCTCATAAAATGTTGCACCCAATTTTAGCCTCCGAGTTGAGGAATATATTGCCATTTCTTACAAATTTGATGTCAGGAATTAACATAACAGGTATCGGGGTAGGGTAGGGTAATAGGGGGTGGGGTACCCGGGTAGAAACTATGAATCAATTTGGGCCTGTCCCAGCCCTTATACACACTGATACTGACAGTGGCGTGTGCATCTGCATCTATACATTCAAATCTACTATATTCCTGAAATATCTACCAAGTTGACCATCACTAAAAAACTACATCACACAAAAGGTAATCTTCTATGAGGCAAAAAGATAAAAAGTAGTAAATATGTTATATTTCATTTTTCTTTAGCGACGGAGAACATTGCCATGTTAGTGGCAAACACTTGTTTAATTGTTTGTTTGTTGTTTAACTCCGTACTCAGCAATTTTCCAACTCTATGGGGGCGGTTTGTACATAGTACTCGAGTCTGGGCCAGACAATCTAGTGATCAACAGCAGGAACATCGATCTACGCAAGTGGGATACGATGACATGTGTCAACAAGGTCAGCGAGTCTCACCAACCGATCAATCGGCTCTTACGACAATGGATCAACAGACACTCGGGTCAAATCAACATATTTAAGCTTTACCGATATCAAATGACACAAGGATAAGTTTCCATTTATCATCAAAAATCATTCTTCCAATTTTTGTTTTGTTATTAAAACAGTTATTGTCTGCATCTTGAGTGCGAGACGTGCAGTAATGGGCTTCAATGGCAGAGAGATTAGTGATGTCATTTGATTGTGACGTCACGTAATCGATGACGTGTGGTCGGCAAACATTCATCTGCATTGTAGATCACCATAAACCAACAGAAACTGTCCTTCCGAGAGAAATAAAGAAC